CGATGTAGTAGTCGTCCTTTCAGACTCGTTCATATCAATTCAGCTGTAACAGAGCATCACGACAAAGATTAAGAAGGTTGCAATCTGAAAAACGATTTCAACGTTCATATACTCCACTGACTGCACGCATGCATGCCTAAGACAACCGAGAAATCGGAACTGAAACTTCAGAATCGTAGGATTAGGAATCAGAATTGCTACGGTGATCGCCTGTCTTTATGCAGCAGCCGTCGCCATTGTCGGCGCTTGCGCTCTGTGTTTACTGAGAGAGTGTTTCTGTGACCTTTCCGACGTTTGCTGTCGCTTGGTGCAGCTACTGCAAGCCGCTCAATCCTCCCTCTTAGCATCAAAAGCAGTCGTCCAGCTTATTTACCAGCTCGTTCGACTCCTCTTCTTGGCACTCATCCAGTACGGCACACCATGAACTGTAGGTAGAAGCAAGTGGGTTCTCTTGCTTCCGGCAATCTCGAAGCCCGACGCCGACCATTTCCTTGATCTTCCCGGCTTTCCGGGCCTCGTCGAAGCGCCTTATGACTCTCCTCACCGTCGATGGATTCTCCGGCCATGCGTCAGGCCGATCGTCCTCGGGACCGTAAGATATGATGCACAGGTCGACGCCGCAGTAGACTGCAAGCTCGTCGGCCTTCTTCAGTCCCTTCCTCCTTCTCTGCAGTGACTGGTGGCGTGCTCTTATTCTTGCTGTTTCCGAAGCCATCTTCGTGAAGAGAATCCTACCTGCATATGCGTTTAAGATCTTTAACACAAAGTCAAAGTTCTAAAGGAGACCGATTTATTAAGGGTTTAGGGTTTAAGATCTTATTTCACACATTCAAAGATATAGTAGTAAGATTTTGAGATTATATTTATGCATGTTAGCAATAAGATTATGTATATTTTTGTGTGCCATTTCTGTAGCATCAATAAAACCTTATCCACAGAAGATAGGTATGTGGTTTGTGTGGTTTGAGGCTCGGGGCTTTGCGGCCACAAACGGGTACACATAGGAGACGGAAAGACCATGAAGTCCTAAGAGAGCGAGTCACAGGAGAGACTGGCTGGCCATGGCTACCACCGCAACCTTTCTTGCTCCGACTGGTTTCTCCATCCATGGCTGGTCGGCAAAGACGAAGGTGGGAAGAGGGAGGAGGCCATGCTCCATCAAGTCCCAGCAGCAGCAGCAGCAGCTGGAAAAGGAGCAGGATCAGCAACCAACACAAAGCCAAACAAGCATTCCACCGCAGCAGCAGGAGAAGGCGAGGGTGCAGCAGCAGCCGTCGCCACAGCCGATGGCGAAGAGCAAGAACATGAGCAGAGAATACGGAGGGCAGTGGCTGAGCTGCTGCACCCGCCATGTGAGGATCTATGCCGCCTACATCGATCCCGTAACCCACGCCTTCGACCAGACCCAGATGGACAAGCTCACCCTCATCCTCGACCCCACCGACGAGTTCGTGTGGACGCCCGATGCCTGTCAAATGGTGTATGCCTGCTTCCAAGAACTCGTCGACCACTACGAGGTATCATCGCCCGCCTGTGACTTCAATTCTAGGCAGCTAAACACGCACGACTCGCACAAAAGAAGATGACGAAGTCGACTCTTTGTTCTTGAAAGGGGGCACCTCTCTCGGAGTACACGCTTCGGTTGATTGGTTCGGACGTCGAGCACTACATCCGCAAGCTGCTGTACGATGGTGAGATCAAGTACAACATGAATTCCAGGGTGCTCAACTTCAGCATGGGGAAACCCCGCGTTAAGTTCAACAGCAGCCAAATCCAGAATGTATGACCTACAATTTGATCGTGAATAGTGCCATGAAAATTTTCAGATAAAGCATGTCAGTCTGTGATTTATAGTCAACGGAGACAATACGAGGAAACAAGCTTACCTTATTTCATGCTTTACAAGCATTACATCTTTGCATCAGAACATGTACATACATATATAGAGCAAAGCTCACGACGAGTCGCCGTGTACGTTCACCGCTTTGCATGTGCTCGTCACGTGCCGAAGCCCCGGCTGTCAGTCTCTGCTGTTTCTTTTCCCTCTCCATATAAGAGGGAGGGTTTCCGCACCTCGACTCTCCGTGCGTGTCGGAGGAAGGAGATGCTTCCGACGACCGACGTCCATCGACCGCCCTGTCGAGGAGACATCGCCGCCTGCCGCGGTCCCGATTCGGATCTCCGTCTTTCTTTGTCCCGATTCAAGGAAACCCTGATTCTCTTCCTTCGGTTTCGCCCAATCCATTGGATCCGAGGAAGGGGATCGACCCGCCAAGGCGACGTCGCCTCCTCCGCTGCAGTCCTAACCCGCGTCTCTCTGCGTCTTTTTTTTGTACCGATCCAAGAACCCCCCGACCCTCCTCCTTCGAGTTCGACGAAGGCCTAAATCTTCATCCACGGAACCCAGGGAAGGGGATCCGACCGCCGGCTACTCCCCCTGCCCCATCTACCGCTCCGCTGAACCGGCGACGTCTTCCTCTCTTTCTTTTCTTCCCCGATCCAAGAAATGTCTGCCGCCTTAATCGAATAAGGAATGTCTCGTTCCCGCCCGCCGACTCCTCCGACTCCATCGACCGATCCGCCGAGGAGGTGTCGCAACCGCCGCCGCCTCAGCCCGCAGCGGAGTGCCACGGTGGTGGGAGCCCACGATATGAACAACCGGAGTACCTCGGCGGTGGGAACCCACGATACGGGCGACTCCCACCACCTCGGTTCTCCCTTCACCAATGCCACCGCCTCCAGCCCGGACGAGCCTGTCTATGACGACACCGTGGCCTGGGCGTGAAGGCAGTAGCCCCGGGCGGCTGCCGGGGAGAGCAGTGGTGCCAAAGAAAGAGGAGAAGGAAGGGTGTTGTATTTTTCTTATGGTGGTAATTTCTTGGTATGTGATCGTAGGTGGGTGTCTTTGCTACCATCTTTCTTGATGTTTTCTTTAGATTCTTGAGGTTTCGATTGTTCTTTGTTCTAAATGTTGGTCGTTGTTCTAGGGTTTGTGTTCATCAGCTATATCACCCTGCTTGCATCAACCGGGATGAGGCCTTCTTTCTTGATGGGGTCGCTGGAACCGTGGTAAGCTTACCTGCATGTTGTCAACTCTTGATTTGTTACAATTGCACAATATGGTTTCAATTTGTTATTTAGATTCTTGAGTCGGGAACTTCGCGTATGGATCATTTCACTGTCCAGTTGTCTTTCGCTGGAAAGTGGTAATCCATCCCATTATTCATCAAGATGTTGCTATGCTACATAGAATAGAAGAGAAGCACAAGTCACAAGCAGCATTTCTGCATCATGCTCATTTAGTTATATATTTCTTTTTCTTGTTGCTTTATTCATGTCAAAAGCTGCCCTCCAAATGTTGAGCTTCTTCATTATTGTGTTTTCCCCTGACCTCTGTAAGCTTCTTCCATGGTATATACACAAGAATGACACAAATTGCTGACTTAGACGGTAAAGAATGGAGTAGGAAGATAGATTGTCTTTACAAAACCACTAGGATTTCGAATATTGTAGCTTAATTTAGTATTTATTCTGTGGTTGCCTTGGCCTGGTACAAGCATAACTTATGCTCAATTGGTAAGTGATGTCTGTTTTTCTACAAGTAATAATTTAGATTTAAGATTTGAATTTTTTATTATTTTATCAAACATGAAAATTGGCCAGGAACTTTTGTTTGTATAATCCAATGAATTTGAGTTTATAGTTAGATGTTTCTTTGTCTGCCAGTTTGTCTGATCGTTGACCACAATATAAGATGGACACAAGAAATGAGGTTAGGACCAGTTTTATATAGTTGAGTTTTGTTGTCATAGGTGGAAGAGTTTAATTTTTTTTGGGCTTGAGTTGCCACCGCTTAATATCAGGTGGATCTGAAGTCATTAGATAAGGTTGGTTTTGTGAGGTAAGATCTAATTTTCTTACATTGCATTAAAGCAACTGAAACTAAGTTTTGGATTAGTCTAAAAAAACCGAGCAGAGTGATGCTATTTGATTATTTGATTGGGTGCCTAGGATATGTTATTGAACAATAACCAATGAGACTACAGTTCCAGGAACTGAAGGCCTTTCAAGAACTCAAATATCTAATCTCAGGCTATTTTTGTTGAACTCCATGATGTAACCCGCTAGTATTGCTTAGTCGGCAACTACAGTTCCAGGAACTGAAGGCCTTTCAAGAACTCAAATAATCTAATCTCAAGCTATTTTTGTTGAACTCCATGATGTAACCCACTAGTATTGCTTAGTCGCCGCTATCGAACCTTTACTTCCAGTTTAACAAATATCATTTGAGGGTAATCGAAGGAGTACAAAATAGCATTTGACATTGATATAATATTATTGGCAAAGATAATCAGGTATGTGGTGATTCACTGATAAAATATATAACACAATTATTAGCATTAAGTTGTCAAATGGCTTAGATGAAGTTAGGTCTTGCTCGAGTATATATTAGGTTTAAATTAGATTTTGTTTGGTATAGGTTCAAGATTTCTATGTATGAGACTTTTGGTAAATTTCTCAGTGGGAATATGATCGCATGAGGTTGAGGTTCTTATATGGGAATTCAACCCTCAGCATGTATCCAACCCGTTTGTTGATCGTGATAACATTTTAAATCCAACCCATGCGTAACCTAATATAATCTGCTAGGATATATGACGAGCTATTAACATGATTAACCCATCGAGACATGTTCTGACCTGTGTAAATGCTTTGAACTCGGCATAATTAATTCAATATTGAATGCGATCCATGTAATGCAACAATTAGCCTGATTTTGTTGGTTGGGTGGTTGGTTGGTTCAAGCCAATCATATAAAAGGATGCTAAACCAGAAGCTAGGGCTAGGGCTGGTAATGGGAATGGGCCTTCTTCCAATAGATCCAATCCTCCAAAACCAATGTGCTAGTACTTATGCTGATCAATTTGTTTTTGACCAAAACTAGTATAACTTTATTCTGGGGTTGGCCAACTGATCCCACTACCTTCACAGTGAAGTTTAGTATTATTTCTTTTTTGGTGTCAGTGAGTTGTGTTAAGTGCTTGCCTCTCTCCTAATTATCATTAGCAATGTTTACTTGCATTTATAAAGTATAATGTAGTACAAAATACGGTATATGGTATTTGTTTAATCAAAACTGGAGACGACATGTTTAAATTGAAATATAACGTATGGTTCAGGATCTGCAATCAGCCTCGAGGTTGCGTTGTTGTGGCCACCACCATTAAGATGTTCGACCTCGTTTGAAGGTTATATGATGGCCTAGGAAACAGTTGGCTAATCTGATTAGTACGTGAGGTTGTGTCCATTCGTAACTATCTTTGCACTATTATAGAGTGCAATACAGAAGTTGCAGATTTTGAGCACAGCTGAGCAACGCCAGCGTTTTGAGTTGGGGAAAGTTGTGGTACTACTTCGAGGAAGCCTGGTGCTGATTCAAAAAACAAAAAAAACAAAAAACAAAAAAGGTACCGTGCCTCCCAGTGATTTTTCACTTGTTGAATGGTGCACAGCAAAAAAGTTCCCGAGTGCAGTTGGCCGTCTACTTAAGCAGAAAAAGAAAAAGGGAATTGTTGTGCTCAAGTAAAATAACTCATCTTGTGCTCAAGTAAATATTCAACATTTAAATGAATGTAATTTTTTGATATTTGATTCTATAATCTTTATAAATATTAAATTCTATAAAAGCAGTTTATGTAAAGTCCTTTGTGGAATCTTCTTATTCACAAGCCGTCAGCGTAATTCACGAAGCCTAATCACCCTTAGTCTGGATTCCCTGCTCATCGGGGTTGTTGACGGGAAGGTGGGAGAAAACGGGAAAGTAAGCATCAAGTTCCAGTTGCTCCAAAATGCGCCGCGAAGTCCAAAGATAAGATGAGTGCCCGTCAATGTAGTCGGTCGCGTCGATCTGAAAATGAAAGTTAGGGTGGAAAAGAAAGAAGCATGATGATGATGATGATGATGCTGATGCACAATATTTACATTTTCAACTCCGGGAATATCAATGGGTTGTATTCCGGCCAAGCCCTGCGAGAACAAACTGCAGGCAGCAGAGAGTATCAAAGATTTGCACAGCATCTTTTAAATATATATATATGCACATTTTAAAAAATATATATATAAATTACCTTGCACGAAAAGCCACTCCGAGTATCCAGTCATTCGTCGAATATACATTTATAAATCTCCCCGCAACTACCTGCAACCAAAAGCACAAAGAAGTGCGCTATCACAACCTGTTAAATATACACATTTATAGACCCTTTTTTTTGGACTCGCAACTATTCTTCATATATGCAGAAACCAAAATTTTTGTTATATACAAATGCTAAAATATCATTTCTAAGCTTGCAGACCAACAATTTCATAAAAAAACTCAGTAGTAACCAACAGAAACAAAAAGATTCTTCCTAATCAACATACAAGAAAGAAACAAAACATATAGTGATGATGGTCACATATATACCTTTCTCGCGATATCCCACTGCTCACCTTTGACCGACAGAGGTGCACCGAGGAGTACAACTCTTTCTACAAGTCCCTCTGACAAGTCAGGAGTGGATCAGACATACTATTGAAACATTACACAGCAGACAGTGGAAATAAGAAAAAGGCGCAAAAAAGCCTCAACATACCATTATCCCCTGAAACTGCCAATGCCTGCAAGCACTTGTATATAACACGGGCTCCTAGCGAAAAGCCAATTAGTGTGACTGGCCTGGAAAATCGGGTAGCAAAGATATTCATCAGTTGATTCAACTTAGGCGGAAACTGGGTTGAGAAACAAGTTCCAAGCTTGCCTATTTCCCTGCAATCCTTTTAATAACACTTCCGCCAGGAGCTTTCCCGCCTTATCTGACCTAAAACAAGCCCAAATAAGTTAATTGTGATGGTGGGTTGTACACAATCTGCCCACATAATGTAAACACACAACAAAAAAATATTATATAGTCAAATTCTGTTTCTTCGATATTTTGTATTGTATTCAGGTTCAGGCAAGTTATTACTGTATGGAGCATCATCCAAAATCTTGAGCTGTACCTGTCAATAGCAATTGACCACTTGCTATCAATAAAATCTGTAGCGGCAATTAAGGTAGCAGGCCATGCTAGTGCAGTTATAAGAGTGCTTAGCACAGTCATCATCGCACCTTGTTTCATCAACCCCATCGCCAGCCCTATATATAAAGTAAAGAGAAATGGTCAAGAAACACACGGGATGCAGTAACAACCAATATAACTATATCAAGTTCAAACAAGTACTTGACGTAAGCCAGTCCTGGATTGCAGTGCTCAGAGAGATCAAGTTCTTAGATTCCCATTGGAGGACATATCTGTAATTTTAATGATATCCTATTACAAATAAAATATAGAAATGCATTGCCTATTACACATATTAGTGATTTTTTTCTGAAATAGAAAATTTCACAGCATGCTTCCAGCCAAAAGGACATCATAAATAAATACTAGTACAGACACATAATTATGAAATCTGAAGCCCACTTGCCCATCCACTAATTCTTCCAAAAATGAATATTATTGATGTTATTTACATCATGTTCATCATTTTTTACGACTTCATGGACAGATAGATTAACTTCAAAACTCATGATTTTTTTTTTTTTTTTTTTTTGCAGGACAACCCTAAAGGGTGTAAACCAGGATCAATGGATAATGTCTACAGTATCAAATTCTTAGGTGTGGATCTAAGAGGTGATTGGACTCACTTAAATCCAAGCACCAAGATCCTAACCAGCTAGAATCCGGGTATAAAGTTACCACCAAGCAGTAATGTATGTGCATGTGGCACATGAATCTATGCGAAATTACACTAGCAATGATCTATCATAGCAATGCCCTGTGAAATACAAAAATCTCCGGTCCATGTAAGTTGACAAACCAAAAAATGCACTAAATGGAGCAGTCCTGAGAAGAACATTGTGGTGGCACAGGTATCAAAGAGAATGCACGTACCTCTCCAAGTTATCTTTTGGTCCTTCCCAAGGCCTTACAAAATCTTCCTCTTGGAAAACAAATCCAGATACAAAGATACCAACTCCTAGGCGCTGATAAATAATAATCGTTGACATTCAGTTAGGCAGTAGTATAAGACTTTCAATGTGTCCAGCATGATCTATTATAGCTACCTTTTGCACTTAAAAGCATACAACTTAAACCATGCAAATAAGATGACTTCTTTTCATAATTTGACATTAAACTGTGAAAGGGAGAACACTCACACCCTGATTATGGTTTTCTCCAATTTGCTTAAAATCAAATTCTTCAATACCTCCAATTCTTCTAGCCATTTTGCTTCCTGTTAGTCCAGCTCCAGCAGCTATGCTTTGCAAAATGAGGACATCAATTTAGTCTCTGATAACTTCCAGAGGAAACCTTCAAAGAAATTAAAATACACAGGGGTAGGGATAAACAAACAATAATAGAAATGGGATGGTGCAATTTGGGTCACAGCAAGAGAGAGAGAGAGAGAGAGAGAAGAGGAGGAGGAGGAGGAAGCAGAAGAGGACGGAGATTCACATCAGATGATATCAATGGAGAACATTTTTACTCTGGTGACTACAGAGGGACAGTGGAGATGATGGCAAAGCCCACAATCTTATTGGTGGAGATGATGCTAAGGAGCAAGGGGTGGTGTATGTGAAAGAGGACAGTGCATTTGATCCAAAACCAAAGCTAGGCATCACTGACCGAGGAAGATGACACCCTTGGTGACGCAACCAAGGGGGATGCAAAGGCAAAGGTGAAGACAGTGAAGGAGGTGCAGGAGAGAGAAGAAAAGAGAGATGAAGGTGCAGAAGAATAGATAGAGGTGGGGAAAAGAATTAAAGGAGCAGTCAATAGCTACTGAAGGGTTTAAAAAAGAGAGAAAGAAGGGGCACTGGTATAGGTATCAAGCACTAGGCTGACTGCCAGGTTCATCTTGGTACCAGTTACTTTCCCGATGGATCCGGTCCACGTGCCAATTGGCCATCAAACCGATAAATATCAATCGACACCAATCAGTACAACCAGTTCTTTAAAACCTTGCTTAAGATCCACACACTCTTCTACATGTTTCCCCACTTCAACCAAGCTAACCTTCTGTCCATCTAAAGCTATCATAATAAGGAATCCACCTAATCCTTTTCTTACTGTTGAGTGGAATAACCAAGAAGTACTACTGGAATATGTGTTCGCCAAGGATGATTTAATAACTCTTCCTCACCTCTGGAAGATTTTCACTCAAATTACAGTGAAATGAGATTTCACACATCTAAGGTGTGATTATCCCAAAAGATACATTCAAGAAGAAATTACAAAGGAAGTCAAGTTTCTAGGAAAAGAAGGTTGAAGTGGCACCATGAAGTTTGGCACTTCGATGTTACAATTTGTGTTAATGTTATATATGGTGCTTGTTAAAAATTAAACATGTAAGAGACAAGAAGAAATAAAGTTAAATGTTCACCTCCAAAGGATGCAGCAACAGCTACAGAACCAGCCACCGATCCAGCAGCACTAGCTATGGCTGCAAATCCACTTGCTCCAACAATAGGGACAAGTGTCCCTAATGTGGGAGCTAAAGCACTAAACCCTGCAGCTATTGCTGGAGCAGCTAAACCTGTTGATTGGTAAAGAAAACGGTTCATGAAATTTATGTGTAAGTTTTATCATCATAAGTATGCCATTTATTTCCAAATATTTGGTCAAAACAGACCTCCAGTTATAGCCAACAAGGCTCCTCCAGTCAATGCAGCTGCACCTATGATGCCACCACGCTTCCATTTAGACCATTTACTCTTTGTAGATTCACTTTCTTGGGATTGGACTTCCTCTTTAGCTGCAGCCATTGCAGAGCAAGCGACCATGATCTCCATAGCTTCCTATAAATATAAATTTTAAATCATAAAAATTTAGAGCTCTGAATGAATTGTGCAATGGTTTGGCAAAAGCCTGATCTTCCTTAAGTACATTTATATTCTCAACTGGTCTTTCTAAAATCATGGAGGGAATCTAGAGAAGTTAACTTCTCTTGCTAGAAAATGAACTACATTCTGCAAGCAATAATTAATTACAATATGAATGTCCACAACTAAACATTTATAAAGGCCATTAGTTACTAATAACAATCAGTTGGACAGTTGATTAAAAAATGAAAGATTGCATATAAAATAAAAAGGAACTGCCTCTTTCATTATCACAGCAAAAGAAATAAAAAAGAAAACAGAGATAAGTGCAAGAAAGCCCTTGCCGCAAACTAATTCAATCTATTCATTAACCTAAAAACCCTGACTAATTCAATGCACCTCATCAAAAAATTTACTGGCAAGACTTGTTGACCTGGAATAGTTATAGCAAGTTCCTCGGATGTCCATCTTAAAATTCAGCAACTTCTATGATACTTATAGAGGTCAGTTGCTCATCTTGCTGCCATCTTGTTCAGTCTCATTGCCTGAACACTATTGCTCGGATGTCCTACTCAAACTAGAAAACACAACTATTTAATTGTTGCTCTTGAATAAATATGCAAGCAGTAGATCGATATTTCTAAATGTGCATCATGATCAATCAAATCCACTTCTCTAAGAGATCTCATATATCTATTAGGCTGATAAAATATACCCATTTCTCTGAGAAGTGTGCTTGATCATGGATATGTGTTTTATCCTTTTTGAAATAGAAGATTCTAGCATTGCATAAAATGTTCAGGGGTTTTCATGGTAACTTAGTGTCAAGTGTCAGTTTGCTCTCTCCATGTCACAAGATGAACCTAGCTGTAAGAATTTGGCAAGAAAGCAATCAAAGTACTTTTAAGGCCCAGCAAGTAATTCATAACCTTACAAAGCATTAGTCAATGTCATCTGACATTTAGCTAAAGCCGGATCCTCGTTTAGTACCAAAAACAATGAAACACATTTAGAAGCATGTCATGTTAGATGTTATAGTGTGATTTCAGCATGCGTTGTCTATATCTAGATATGGAAAATTTTGATTGTATGCCAGATTCAACATTCTTATGCTGCCAAGAACTAATAGATATCATTCTTATGTAACAGTAACACATGAAACAACATATTACCTAATACGAGGTTATTATTTTGTGCGATTCATTATTGAACTTTAAAAAGAATGATCAAATCAAGAGAATGTTTATAGACAAACCACTTTGATCCACTTGACATCAAGCCATGTTGCTAGCAACCGTAGGGCAACACGATGTCGAGCATCATAGCCCTTTCGAAACTGAGAAACTTTTTTGTTGTCTTGAGGTGTATCAGCCACACATGCTGAAAGAAGCTCATATAGCAATACCATTCTACGCTGACGATAATAAGGAGTGTCTTGTATGATTGTTGTTTCATCATTCTCCACTTTGAATGACACCTTGGAATTTCTCCCTTCCAAAGTCTGAGAAGTTTCTGATATCCCATCAAAGTTCCCACTGGACGAACCCAATGTAGCTCTATCATGATATTCCTTATCACGATTGTGATGTGTCTCCTTGGGTGTCATAGCTCTATCATGATATTCCTTATCATAATTGTGATGCTCCTCGGATGTCCCACCTGAAGAACAGGCAGCTTCTAAGCTCACTGCCATAGCATCAACCGCTTCGGCCAAAGTTAGTTCTTGCTCATACTTCTCTGAAGAACTTTCAATGTCTTCTTCAAATATTATTCTCAGGTACTGCAATGTAATGAGCAAAACCACAAGTCATGGGAGATCTGAAGAAGAAAAAGACAATTTAGTAATAACAACTCACCAAGCATTGATATTCTGTTTGTATACATAGAATTTCAAAGAATCTAACCTGATATATCATGTACCTATGGGAGCACTATGATTTAAGATCTAATTATTGAACAGCGAGATGAAAATAACTCTTTCATGCAGATTCAGTAAGAAAATTAGGCAGTAACAGTCTTTCTTTTGGCTATAAAGCAGTTCGATTCAATTCTCCACCATCACCAGTTACCAAAGAGATAAAGTATAAAACTGAGTGTTTAAAAAATCCCAGTGTACTTTATATTAAAGTTCACAATTAACTGTTCTTATCATTGATCTAAAGGTCTGTTTTGTTACAAAAATCTCCAAGTTAAGGCTGCCCAAAGAATAATTGAATAGAATCAAGCACATACTCCCGTTAGAAATTGTAATGAGAAGTAATGAGATCAGCAGAAATTGATCTTTGGAAAAAGTGCATGCTTTATGTAATATCTGCTGTGCCTCATGCAAAATTGAAGCAAACCCCAACCTTTCCAAGGTCCCAAAATAAAGAGCACCGAGTGCAGGTATCTTTTCAACATCTGTTGTTCAAGGATTTAAGGATGTAATTAACTGTAAATATAATTATAACAGTACAACACAAAATGATCAGACAAAATTCATCATATTAATCTTCTGAATTATGGAAAGACAAATTAGGTAGCCTGTGTAACAACAGTACACAAGACTCTAGCCAAGTTGAGGTCTAGGGAGAGTGAACGTACATAATCTTACACCTACAAGCAAAGAGACTATTTTTTGTTACTCAAAACCTAGCTGCTCAAGTTGGCAAGGATAAACCTTGCCGTGACATCAATTTTGCCAGCAGTGATTAGTAAATCAAATAATCAAAAGGGAACAGTTTAGCCTCAATTTCAGAGGGAACTTGAAAAAAAAAACCGAACAGACAGAAGGGGAACCTTTTTTCAAGACCTTAAAAAGTGTTGAATGCAGTCATACAGGCACTTCCTACCAATTAATGATCTGATTCCCATTGCCTACCAATCTGCAAGAAGAAAGTGAATGCTGCATAGGCAGTTACAGTAAGCAAAAAGCAAGAATCCTGAGGGACCTGCATGGTGAAATAGAATACATTGTGTTCTCCTAAGAATATGGGAGAGTTAAGCCACAAAAAATTTGTGTGCCTTTAATTCTGCAATGCTTACTAAGCAGATCAAATTCTCTCACTCTTTGGCGGTGAGTACTATCCTAAGACAATTTTTGGAATACTGATGCAGTTGCTAAAGTTACTCTTCAATATGCATTATTTACGTTAAAGGGCTTCTTAAGAAGGGTTACAAATGCAGAGAGTATTAACAGAACTAGTACTAAAATTGGCTTGATCCATGGTTACACAATTTGAAAGGGTTTAGAGTCCAATCTCCAGTTTCAACTCTGTCATTTGTGTTAAATGCACTTAAATATAATGACAGGAGATTCTTCACTAAGTACAAGGGCAGAGAATTCTTAAAATTCAAGCAGAAAGCTGGATGATGATATTGACGGGCACTTTTTTAGTGATGATCTATTAAATTAACTTCAGCCATCACATCACTTTCCAAGAAGATAGGCTAATCGAGGAGCAGGTTGTTCATCAAGGGCTTCAGGAAACGATCTCTGAAGTATAATTAATAAATTACAAGTTCCCCCAAGTAAAAAATTTGTGCGACAGATTTGTCATGATGCTTTGACAACCTTATCTGAAAGGTTGGCAAAGCATCTGTACATGCTTTGTGAAACATAAGGTTCGGTTATCTTTATACTTTTTATTAACATGTTCAGTTAGCTTAGTCTCGTCATGTTAAGACGGGTAATAATACGGCAGCACGTTTGTTAGCTAAGGAGGCTCCTGATCATAGTTATCATAACCACATCGTGAAGCCATTCGGTCAAGCCTAGGGTCACTAGCCGTTCCGGTGGTTCCATTAGTTGGACCACATGCTTAATTAATTTTTTTAAATACTAATAATTTAAAATTATATACAGTAAAAATCTATAACATTAAAATTAATTAAAAAAGAAATTTGTATAGAAAATAATGAAAATGATAATATCAACCAAGGTTTGCCGTACCGCAGTGTAACACTCAGTACGGGTAGTACGTGCCGATCTGACAGAGGACCGGTACGGGCAGTACATCAGTATGCACTCATGTATCTTGTGTCGGTACGTTCGATATGACTCGATACAACTCGGTACGTATCGTACCGATAGCTGGTCGGTACACCAGTACAGACTAATAAGACGAATCATGATATAAACCAACATTGTAGAAAACATAAATATTGGAGGTCGGATCGGCTTTAAATTATTTCTCACATAAACCCTAATTTCATGATTGGCATAAATGGCCTCTTAAACAAATAATAAAAAAGATTTAAGTCGAGGATATTTAAGTAATTTTTTGTTATATTACAAGACTTGTTTGGTTTTTTCTACCTCAGCCGGTTCATGCGATTAATCAAAAACCGATTAGGTCAGTGGGTTCATTCCGGTCTTTTAACACATAGATCCAACAATTGAATCGGACTAATGAATGGTCCGGTTCCTGGTTTTTCCAATCCAACCGGTTCGTTCCAGTTCTGATAACCATGTTCTTGATGACTCATCTCATGCAGTTCATAAAGATCTGAAATTTTCTTCTCAAATAAACAAACAATCAAACTCCTTGAAGACATCACCCATAAAGAAACAATTGGTATATGCATAAAAAGAAAGAAACTTATGATAAAAAGTACCAAATCTTTCTAACGGTTCATAAATTGAACCAACCATACCACTATAGTCACTAAGTACAAAACAACACGCAACAACAACCCTTGAAAAGCTTCTTTGGGCCTTTCTCAGTTTCCATTACAACCACAATACACGAGAACTAAAAAACTAAGGCAAGCCAACAAGCAGATTCTTGCATTATCACCACAACTGCCTACAAAGAAACCAAGTTACCTTTCTTTCTCACCCCAGTACAATCAGAGCTCACGAAAACCAAAAACTATGGCAATCTAACAAGAGGAACTTTGCATTATCGCCATGGGTACCTACAGAGAAAGCAAGTTGGACCCTCCTAGGCTATCCCATTGCCAACACAACTTGTGAGGACTAAAAACTAGCGAACGGTCAGACCCGTATTCTTACAATATGGTTAGGATAGCCTATAAAGAAAGCAAGTCAGACCCTTCTTGGCTACCATGACAGGTCTTGACACAGATTCTTACATTATCACCATGACAGCCCAGAGAGAAACGAAGTCGGACAATTCTTGGCTATCATTACCATCACAACTCACAAGTACCAAAGATGGGGGCAGGCAAGCTAACATATTCTTCCATTATCACCATGACCACCTACAGTGCAAACAAGTTGGATCCTCCCGGGCGATCATTACCTTAACGACTCACAAGAACCAGAAACTAGGGCAAGATTAAGCAGATTCTCCCATAATCACTAGATCACCCACAGAGAAAGCATGTCCGACCATTCTTGCTAGAATTACCATCACAACTCACAAGTAGTGCAAGCTAATAAGCAGTTTCTACGATTATCACGACGATCGCCCATAAAGAAAGCAATTCGACCAAGAGAACAATCAACGGAGTCAAAAGGAAATCGAGTGTACCGCTCCTATGTGATGCTTGGCCATGGAGGACGCCGCAGTCTCCTCCAAGCCCGACCAGGCTTTGGGGTCTATATCCAAGAACCTATTTCCCCAAAGAAGAAAGAATAAAGGAAGACTCGGAAACGGTTTTTCGAAAGGAAGGAGAGGAGAGAACGAGAGGGGGACCTGAAGACGGGGCGGAGAAGGCCGCACGACTCGTGGGTCCAGAGCTCGGGGTCGTCGCCACCGCCCTCGCTGCTGGTGGCGCTTCCGGTGCTGCAGCGGCCCTGTGCGTCGGGGTCGGGGTCGTCGTAGCCGAGGGGGCGGGTCTGGTGGATCTGGGCCTGGCGGAGGGCGAGGGCCAGCAGAGCGCCCGCCGCGTACCGATGCGTCGGGTTCAGCAACGACGGGGCCATCGCGGCCGGGGCCCCGCCGTGCAAGTTCTTGATCTCGCTGGTGGCGATGGCGATCAACCGGGGCGGCGCGGTCTCGGAAGGAGACTGGGTGGCAATAGATGCCGGACCATAACGCACCACTTCTTGCCCCCCTTGCTTATACCGTTCTCCGATCGCATCACACGTCAGCTTTGTCGCCTCTTAGCGTTTATTTTTGGGTGTCAAGAAAATAAATAAATTAATTAATTAATTAATATGCAAATACGAAATAATAAGATCATGACGGTTAATAGTGGAGAAATATAGACAAAACAAGATTATATGATTGCATTTGTGGTTGACCAAAATTACATCCGTCTTTTCATGAATTTAAAGCTTAATTTATAATAATAACCAAAGATCCCGAATGAATATATAATTTTAATTATTTTGTTGGATAGGAGTTGATAGTGGTAATAACGATGGGACGTGCGTTGACATCAGCTCCTCCAAGATAATGATCCATGCCTCGATTTGACTTGACGCGCCTGACCGAGGCAGACCAGGATGACGATCAGGGCACGCCACGTCCTGCGCAAGCCTGGTTCTTCATGCAACGCCTACATTGGTGTCAGACGCTATCGAAAGTACGGGCCTGCCCCCTGCAAGTGTGGGCACATCATGAGACAATAAGCTTCCCTATAAAAACCCTCGCATTCAGCTCAAGGAAGGGGGAAAAAAGATGAGAAAAACCCCCTAAGACTATCCACTGACTTGATCGTCGGAGGGTCAAGTCGAGCCTCCCGACCCGACCTGTGTGCAGGGACGAAGACGAAGCACCTCCCATCGCGTACCCAGGCGAGGAGTTTCCTTCCAGAGGAAACGACCGTCCTGTCGTAATCGGACCACTGCAGTCGGTCACCTCACTAGTCTCAAGGGTCGCTCAGCAAGATCCCCGATCATTCGGATCCGAACCCAGCCACGTTGGCCCCGAGGCCATGGCTTAAGGTTGTTCCCCACAACAGGAGCGAAGACAACATTTCTGATCTCACCATTATATGATAACGATAAATGTCTGTATGAGTTATATCTCTAATGGCGATCACCATTATGTAACTCTTGGCAGCTGATGAAGAGGGTATTACAGGAAAGAGCTGAAGCTCTTCATTTATTGCATATATGAAACACTGCGAACAGAGGGAAGCTTAATGGTGTGTACAGTGGAAAGCTACCGAAATCCCGCTTCTTTATTTCATTATTTCGTGGAAACCAAATCCAAGAAAGAGACGATCAATTCAGTGGGCAACTGAGTCGGGGTGTGGGGACGGCCACGAGCGGCACCGCCTTCGGTGCCGACAGCCCGAACACGTCCCCCATGTCGAGCTCGGTTGGCTTCATGCCGTCGGGCAGCGCCCAGGTGAAGCAGTGCAGCAGCTGCGCCACCGCGAGTTCCAGCTCGTGCATGCCCAGCTGCATGCCCGGGCAGGACCGCCGGCCGGACCCGAAGGGCAAGAACTCGAAGCAGTTGCCTTTGAAGTCCAGAGCGGCCGCGTCGCCGCCGGGAGCGAATCGTGACGGTCGATATGCGTCGGCGTCCTTCCATGCCGACTCGTCGCGGCCGATGGCCCATACGTTGATCATGACTGGCGACCGAGCAGGAATGGAGTAGCCGGCGACCTCGCAGTGGTCGGCAGTCTGGTGGAGGAGGAGAGGGAACGGGGGATGGAGACGTAGCGTCTCCTTTATGGCGCATTTGAGGAAGGAGAGCTTGTCGAGATGGCTCTCGTGGACCTTCCGGTCGAGTCCTACAACCATGGCTAGTTCTTCTTGCACTCGTTTCAGGTCATCAGGGCTGGTAAGTAGATCGGCCAAGGCCCACTCGATGGCGATGGCCACCGTCTCCGTGCCGCCAAACATCACGTCCTGCGTAATTAGAGATGATACGGTTTACAGGTTAGAAAAATGAGAATTTAATCGTCTTAATTACGCAACGAGATATTAACGAAGCACATGGAAACCATATCAATGTGGAGATAAATATATAGCTTAGCAGGTTACAGTAACAGAGAATGAGGAAATAGTATTACTTTTTAGAGCGTATGTATACGTACCATCATTACAGCCCTAATGTTGGCCCTCGACAGCCTGAGCGTTCCCTTGAGATCATCTCCCTCTTCTTGTCGGTGGTGGTGAGAAGACTCCTCGAGGAATGCGAGCATGACGCCCACCATGTCTGCGTTGGCGGCGTCGGTCGCCATGTGCTCATCGATGATCCTGTCGATGAAGAGGTCGAGTGTCGCTCGTGCCACCCTCAGCCTCTTGTTGATGCCCTGCGGATCCATCCAGCTAAGCCATGGGATGAAGTCGCCCACGCTGAAGGCTCCCAAGAGTGTGGCGATCTCCTGGACGACGGCGATGTACTCCTCCTGGTTCTCGTCGCTCCGCTTCCCAAACGCCGACCGGAAGACGATGTTCTTGGTGAGAGTGAACGCGAGGTCGCGGACGTTGAAAGCAGAGCCGGCGTGCTTGGCGACGGTGCAGACGGCCGCATCGACCTCCTCAGGGATGGAGAGCCACGACTCCGCGTGTTTCCGGCTGAAGAGCTTCGTGACGCAGAGCTTGCGCATCTGGCGCCAGTAGGGGCCGCACTGGGCGAAGGCCAGGTCGGAGCGGTTGTAGGTGAGGTAGACGATGGCGGTGGTGGCCGGGCGGTCGGAGAAGACGCTGTCTTGCACTTGGAGGACTTGTCGGGCGACGTCCGGCGTGGACACCACGAAGTGGTGGACAAAGCCAAGGCGAAGGTGGAGGAGGCCGCCATAGAGTTTGGCGAGCCTGGCGAGGCCGCGGTGGGTGAGTTGGTTCATCAGTAACATGTTACCTATGATGGGTAGTGGAGTTGGCCCCGGCGGTAAGGGAAGCCTCCGCCGCCTCCTTGCGGCAATGTTGACAATAAGTAGGAGTGTCAAAGGTAACATCAAACATAGTAGAATCAAGTGCATGGAGGTGACTTCTTCGACCCATACCATACTGTGCTGATGAAAGTTGTGTCACCGTTAGAGGGAGTGAGTGCAGATTTATAGAATGATGGTCGATGTGGGCTTTCACCGACATGACATTGGAGGCACGTGATGGAACCCAACGAACGGGTTCCACAAATCAGGTTAGTGACACGCCCACCTCAACCCTTGGGAAAACGCCAAGGTGATTCAATCAGCTCATAGCTTCTTTTTTTACTTCGATAAATGTATTGAGATAATGATATCGGAGCAACGACGACATGAATCGATTCTCAAAGAATGGACAAAAACAATTTAAAAAAAATGAAAAGAAAAAAAAAGGAAGAAAATGATATGGCAATTCTTAAAGCATGGACAAAGACAATAAAAAAAAAGAAAAAAAAGAAAGAAAATGATATCTGAGCCATCATCACATGAAGCAACTCTGAAAGCATGGACAAAGACAATAAAAAAATGAAAAGAAAAAAAAAGATAAAGAAAGAAAATGATATCTGAGCCATCACCACGTGAAGCAATTCTGAAAGCATGGACAAAGACAATAAAAAAATGAAAAGAAAAAAAAAGATAAAGAAAGAAAATGATATCTGAGCCATCACCACGTGAAGCAATTCTGAAAGCATGGACAAAGACAATAAAAAATGAAGAAAGATAATGATAACTGAGCCACGACACGAAGCAATTCTGAAAGCATGGATATCCTTATACTATTAATGAGCCCACTGGCGCACGCACCTCAATAAATAACGGAGCCTAGTAGTTGTCGCAGGCAGCAACAGCTCAGTGGTAGTGAAATGAAATGATATATTTGCCATCGCAAATCAAAAAGGAAAGAATCTTCGACAACATTACCTCTTGGAACTATTCCTTCGTTCTGCCTCTTGCTGCAAGACTTCCTCCAAGGGGAAGAGACTGAGATCCTGGCAAAACCTACGTGTCATTGGATTCAAATGAAGATTAATGAGTTAGACTTTCAAGGTTAAACCATCATCTTGTATGCAATGTAACTAGAATAATACGGGACTGTGACTGTAACTCAAAATACATTTGGAAACGAGTCACACATATATCATGAGAGAGAGAGAGAGAGAGAGAGAGAGAGAGAGAGAGAGAGAGAGACGAAAAAGCAAGCAAAAAATGTAAAGAACATAAAGAAAAACCTGGCTCAGAAAACTACAAATTATCTCTGGTTATATGTCCACTGCATCCGACCAAGAGGACCATTGGCACCGGTAGCACTCAATTTAGAGCTCCAATAGCTTGCAACGTGGCATATCTTATTTGGCTGCAGCCAGCAGCATATTCCACAGTAGTTATATTAATCAAAGCCAGTAATTTAAGTGGTGGATTACTAAATAACTTTGTTTTCCTGCAAAATCTACTTTAACCTTTGACAAAGATATCAGACAGCATTGGCCATTTAAACAAACCGTAAGATGGGGGAAAATGCAAGAAATAAGTTGAAGATACAAACACCATAGACACAAACACGATATTTCGGCTTATGGAAGCCCAACACTGCAACATGCACACTTCGTGCAAAGCAACACTTCTATAGCATTGAAGCAATTTTACTTGCAAGCACACGCTCCCTCTTCTCAATGTATGCGCAAGGGAACCAACCTGCTTTTCCTTTGCATTCACCTTCAGCCCAGCCATTATCTGACACCTGTAAGTCAAAAATCAGATCAAATGGTAATAAATGACGGGACATCGCTCGACAGCATTTAAATTTAAACTTCAAAAATATGAAAGAGGGCAGATGCGCATGCCGTACTTTCTAACAAGCACCAGACTCTTACCTTTTGTTGTTGAAAAGGAAAAAAAAAAACTAAAAGAATGATGATAGGAAACATGCTCGAAAGTTACAGGTTTTTGTTTTGTACTACAAATTCTAGAAACAGAAACTGAAAACCCATGGCCATATGACAGGTGACCTTTATGATTCATCCACAGGACTTTAATTTTATATGGACAGAAAACTAGCATGCATCGACAGTGTCCTGCACGGGCGTCTCTAAGAGAGGAATCATATTTTGGGCTCACTCTTACTAGGACTTGGTTTTCCAACTTTCCAATCAATATGGAAGTGAATATGACCATATCACTAGCTATATCAGAATAAACAATGCTGACAAAGTAGAAATATTATATCTACAAGGCATACTGCACCTGATGAGTGATCTATCAATGATAAAAAAAAGTGTCAACAATGTGTATGTAGTTTGGTTTTAAGTTTTTCCATATTTGATCTAGAATTTTTCTTTCAATAAATTCTGACATGGCATCACTCCACGGTGAACAAACAGTGTTACTGTGGTGGACACAATTTGGCATTGAAGTTTTAGGCATACAAATCCATGTGCTTACAAATTATAACATACATCAATCATCTATTTTCCCAACAATATGGGTTCAGCTATAGAACAAAGCTAAGCAAGAGGGATCCATGGGAAAATTTCACAAGATTCCACAATCAACTGTCAACATGATGTTAATATAGGCCTAAATCCAAACCCCTTATCTGGGTCAAGACCAGATGTAAAGACTCTAATCGGATGGACGAGCTACCATATTGGTTATAATTCAAATTCCTGCCTAAAAAAAATCTGCAAGTCCTGTTAATTGAAAGATCTACCCAATGGGTTAGAGTATAAGCTCCTGCAGTCAGAAAACAACTCTCCAAATTCTAGCTGCCCTAGCAAAGATTTCAGACCAAAGGGTGACTGATAAGTCCTATTACCCGAAAAAAATGTTCATGTCAAAGGCATAAATAAGCCATAGAACAGAAAAAACTACAAATAATCTAAGCTCAAAAATATAGATTCTCATTTCATATTTAACTACGTTATGACATTTTACACCACCAGTAAAACTTAATTTGAAAATTTTCCATTCATCATTAAAGTTTTTAGTGCCAATTAATTTGCTGATATCAGATGTAATAGAATATGCTCTAGCATGGTCAGAATGGTTTCATAACTACAGAAAGATGGAGGGATAGAGAGAGAGAGACCCTGACCCTGATTTGAAATTGAGGCAAAAGACAAATGTGTCAAACATTTGCAGAAGAATATATGTACCTTACGTACAACGACATAGTCACCAACGGACAAGTTAAGTTCCACATCTGTCTCAGCCTGATATGAATTAATAACCTTGCAGAAAGAAAATATTTATGAGCATATATGTAAGAAGAGCATAGACAGCCAACTTAACTCACTAAAATAAACCAGCTTCATATAAGATGGACACAAACCATTTTAATTACCTCAGCTAAAAAGTACTCCACAGTTTCAGTAGCACCATCAACAGCTGAGTTAGCAAAAAATCCACTGGCTTCTTCGTATGATGGTGGTGGAGGCGTAAAGTTTTCTGAAACTGGATTAGGAGAGGCTTCGATTCTTTGGCGTTCTAATAGCATCTGTAAACCACATCCACCAACAAAATTAAGGAAATTAAATACTTCTCTTCGCATTACGATTTCTTTCAACACAGAAGTAACCATCTGTAAATTGTAAATATATATTGGAAACAATGGTAGCTTTCTCATGCACCTCTGCCTCAAGTTGTCCGAGGATTTGTAGGATCTTCTGATGGTAAGTGCGCTCTGATTCAACCTTCAGAGCCAAAAATGGTAGACATAAACCAAAAGCTAACAATGTGGAAAATTTGTAAACTAAAGGCACAAAAGAATGGTGATACCATAGCAATAAGCCGCTGTAAGGTTAATCTTTGTTGCTGAGCTTCCACAGCAGCCATTGCTGCAACAGCTTCCTTACCTGTTGCTGCCATATTAGATTTTAACTCCTGCAACTTAGCTTCAGCAGCTTCTAACTTTGAAATGTTATCACCAGTGCCAGCAGTTTCTCTTACTTTAATATGGCGCTTTGAAACTTCAGTAGCCTGTTAAAATTTCAAATACATCTTCAAAAAAAGGATTATTTATAAATAGAACTTTCTTGTGTAATAAAAAGAACTGTCAAGTTAAAATAACTTAGTAGCTGGAAGTTTGTCTATCTCAGAATAATAAATCACACAAAAAAATGCTGCAAAGTTTAGAGACGGTAATCGCATGTTCTATAAAAATTTTAACACCGAAAAAGACCTTCATATGCAGATTCCTAGTGCCTAAAAATACCAACATTTGACTATTCAATGCCTTTCATGTTAACATGCTTAGCTCCCAACCATCCATGTGGAATTACCCTGCCTAGATGGCCACAGTGGTTAAGAAACTGAAAACTAAAAAAAGTACAAAATGATACCCACAGCTGACATGTGGAAACAGCCACCTAACATGCTGCATACCTGAGCTTCAGCTTCTTGGTGCATCCTATCATATCTCTGGGCAAGGTGGCGAGCATCCTCCAATGGAGCACCCACTACCATGGCTCTTAATGGCTCTGCAACCTGACATGGAAAGGTCATTTGTTGATACATAATCAGTAGACATTGTAAGCATCTAGAAACACACTGATGGTATCAGAATCCATTAAACTCATATTCTCATCATTCATACTCAGAATTCAGAAATGTCAACATAACAAAATCCACGGGACTGATGTATGTGAAAAACTACAGTAAATGATAACCAATTAGCAAATGTAAGTAAAAGAAAAAGGATGAGTAAAGAAGGATCTTAATGAATCCAACCCAGCAATGGCTTTAAATAGAACCACCAAATCTCTATTTCAATGTAAATAACCAAAATAAGAATTTTCAATCAGCCTTTAACTACCAAAATTCAGGTTCTTTTTATTTATCAACAGGTTGCATCACAAGGAACAGCCCATCAATATGCAAGGAAATCAGATATTGACTTCTGCATTGACCTAAGGCGAAATTTACTGTAAATAATTTGAAAGGTGTAAGCATTGGCTTTACACAATTTGACAAATTTTATCTTGATATAACATCAACCAGATACTTCAGTCATTCATTAAGGTACCTATTTGTATCATTCACCAAAGCATCTTAATGGGAAGGTTGTATCTACGTGCTGCTTTCTGCTACAAGCTGAATTAGTTACTGAAAGCAGAAAGCCTATTCAACTGATCCATATATACGCATCATATCTGAGATAGTTTATCTTATCCAGGCTACTAAGATAGTTCATATTCCAGACTTCCTATTTTCTATTCTTAACCTGACATATTTGAGAAATAATATTCAATTTATGAATTCACAATGATGCATATACAAATTATTCATTACCATGAATTTCATTATTATATTTAATCATTGAAACTTTTTTTACTTTCTTTTGGTCATAGCTGGGTGGCTTACTAAGTAAAATATCTGCCTATTCGTCATCTACAGTTTTCCGAAAGCAGGGCGGGGGAGACATGTACGACAGTGAAGAGAAGAGGAGAGAGAAAGAGAGAGAGAGAGAGAGAGAGAGAGAGAGAGGGAGAGGAATGCATGCAGTGCAGTATTCACATAATAAAGAAGTATAATCTGTTTATTACATTAATTTACATGAGAGGTACAAAGCAAAATTAGGATTTTGCCCATATTGCAAGGGCATCATAGATGATAAGCAAATCCTTATATAAATAAAATAATCATGGAAAGAAAAATGGTTAAATTATTAAGGATCTAAAGTACATTGAGAGTATACCAAGATATGTGAAAGCTTATCCTACTAATATTATATTAATATAATAATTAGCAACAACTCAAATATGTGTGCGGTATATGGGAAAATCCTTTCCAACAGAGACTAGTCCCAGATGACAAAAAGAGGGAAGAGTCGCACAAGAAGTTACTATGGCGATTAGTGACAGCAGATAAGATGAATCAGAATAACTGCAGACAACATACATGATACAGGAGCAAATTGATCATAACCTTTACATCAATCACATAACAGAGAGAAAAGGTAGGAAGTATTTAAATTTTATATAGATAACTGTATCAATTCTGTAAGACAATATCTAGCACAAGAAAAACATGAAAATATCAGTTGGCCGGGGAACAAGTAATTTAAAAAACCTGGGTACCAAGAGCTTTCAACAGATTTCCATGCTCATTCTCCATCTGAGAACGAGCCCTCGCATAACTTAAAGCAGCATTCGATAGAGTATTCCCACTTGTGCAGGTGTTCCCAACACCATATTTTCTACTATCTTCAGACAATTTATTGCCTATACAGTATGGGCTATATTAGAAACAAAATAGGTTTGTTTAGACCAAAGACGTAGCATGCCACTATTATATGTGAACTTTGGCTTTTGCACAAAATACAACAATGGACGAGGAAATGGAGAAAAAAAACACAGCAATAAGAAGAGTACCAATTTCAACTTGTTTAGATCCTGTAACAATATAGCCTTCCACACCACGCACTATATCCCTTTGAAAATGCTGGATGAAAAATGATCAAGAACCTTTTGCATGTTAAGGAATGAAGGAAGAGACTGGGCAAAATAACTAAGAGTAATAAAGGATTCACAACCTTAGCAGCCCGAGTTGATATATAAAGTTTTTCTATTTTTTGATTCTGCTTATATTCTGCTGCATCTGCAAATAGGCTATCAGGACTTCCATATCCACCGCCTCCAAATTGCTTGAAAACCGCCTGCAGACACAACCACTGGAATTTAGGTCACTTGTATTCACAGCAGTCGTAAAATAGTTTCAGCAAACATCCCTAATCTTTGCAATCAAATAAATGGCTTAGTTCAGTTAACATGGAAAAAGGTGATGTGCGTGCTTAGCTTAGTTTCCTTCAAAATAGGTGAATATCAAAATAGTTTCCACATTTGAAAAATTTTCAGCAATGAGAGAAAAAAAAAAAGCAGGTTAGAGGATCAAATGACAATCTGTTTCAAAGAAAATAATCACTAATACTCGGGTTGTAGAACACTAAATTTTGATCACCCTGTGAGGGGTAGCATACGTGACACATCAATTGCAGAGGAATTCCAAAGAATAGCCTTTGGAAGTCTTTCAAGGATGAAGCCATATGCCAATCGCAAGAATAGCTTCATGGAAGCAAGAGTGTCAAAAGATCAAAGATCTTTCAACATGATAAATAATTTACTCAAACTGACATCAAAAGGAAAACTATCATGGAGCGAGCCGCTTGTTCGCTGGCTGACCTTTTCATCCAGAACGGACACATGCAACCTGCCACAGTATCAACCAAAAGATCGTTCACCAAACAGACAGCACGACCCTCGCTACCATCAGGCCGACATGTTTTACGATGTCGAGGACCAAGTTACGATTTGGTCACATACCCACCCAGGGTTTCAAGAACCCTAACCATACCATCCCAACGATCACCGGAATTTTACGCCATTCCATAAGTTCATCATCCCCCTACATACAACGAATCCTTCGAAACTGGGATGCGATCGACACAAATCGAAGCAAGAACGGCCAACGACCATGGCAGAAGGTACAGACGAAGAAGGGTCCGGTGATCGAGGATTACCTGCTGCTGCCTGGCGACCTGCTCCCTGAGTTTGGAGGCCTGCTTCCTGAGAGCCTCCATCCGCCAGCGGGGCGGCGAGCGCTCTGGCAATGACTCGGAATCCGGCGATCCGACCCAAATCTTCGAGACGGAAGCGGACAAAGAAGACGAGCGACGGGAGCTGTTAGAAAGGAAATATGTTTTTCCTTTCTACCAAACACATTTTCACTGTTCCATCCATAGCAATTATTGGGCCATAAGAGATAGTATATTAATAGTTTTCTTATCTAAGAATTGCGGCTTAGCTGATCACTGAGAACAGATTGACGCGAAGAAGCGAGAAGAAAAAAAGTGACTTGGAAAGTATATGATTTGTTAAGTTGGTTTGTTAAGTTGGAAAGCATGAAAAGTATAATTATATTATTATTATTATATAATTTTTTTAATATTATAATATGATTATTTTTTTCTTGAATGAAATCTAAATCTAATCGAGCAATCAAAATACAATCAGAATCAATTTTGATCATTAACATAAATCAAATTAATTAATTTTATAATTAAGGATATGAGTTAGTTATAAATATTTAATTTATGAAGAATAAAATTATAATTTTTAGGATATAATGAAAATAAATAATTTTCGAAGGGTAGGATTGTCAAGGGAACATAAACTGGAATTAAAATGATTTGTAAGGGCAAAATAGTAATTTTAATAGTGAAGATAAGTCCTCACTACGCAAGGTATGCAATCGTCATGGTGTGTGGTCGTCCATCGGCTTATGGTCGATATCCTTGGCACGATTGTTTTCACATGGGTAATCGATGACCCCATTGGTCCCCATGTCGTGTCGTCGTGCATGAGTTCTTCATAGGCGGAACATCTCAACGACCATGCATCGTCAACTGTCATTCGTTGGATCAACAACGTCAGGCTACAGCCTCAAACGCTTATCAATGACCCCATCGATCTCCATGGTTATTCTTGTTCGCCACCTAGTAGTTAGGAACCACGACCTTCAACGACCAATTGACGTTGGCCATGACCAACAAACACTATTACAGTAGCATTACTATATTCGTTGGTTAAAGGCAACGCTGCAACCACCGTAACCATCACAAGTAGCGGCATTGTTGTAGCCACCTACGTCTAAGGTATTACCATAAGGCTTCTACATATAGACAATCGTGCATGTAACCGTCATCAGCTATTGCACTCAATCATACTTTCGCTACGTACAACAAGACTTGCACACAATTGTTGCCCGCGATTGGGCCGACGACCATCGAAGGTCATTGCTATGAAGAAACTATTGACAATAATCTATCAACCATAAGAAATCTTGTATCACCTACAAGAAAGCAATAGGACGGACGACATAGGAAAACATATTGACAACACAAATTGATGGTTTAAGCATTGTATAATCAAAATCGAATAATATCTTTTTACAAATTAATGATACTAATAAACAGATCTAAATATAAAATAGATCTAATGTACTTTTACAATATAAGACACAATATAAGATATGATTTCAAAAGATAGCTATGATGCTATCCATAAGCATAAAAATTATAATTATACTACTATTATATAAAAAATTATAATGTCAAAAACTAAAAATAAATAATGATAAATTAAATTTATGATATGTTCCTTTGCTATTCGGAGAATCTTTATCTAATCTATAAATATACTCGTTGAATCCAAAAGTTATAACGATGCTTATATGCAAGAAGAACTAGATTTATTTTTTTTTCACTTACTATCGTAGAACCATCCATATCAGCGATAAAATAGGGACTAAGAAAGATTGAGAATAAATCTATAATCTTAATATATAATATTTTATCCCTGAAAACTCATAGCTTTATACGCAAGAGTAAAAATGTCTCTGGATCATTTTCTAAAAATTTAATTATATATAATATATGTTATAATTAAAATTTAATTGTATCTATAAAATACCTTAGAAATAAGATAGAATCATATTAGGTTTCTTAATCAGTAGTTTTTCTTCTCCGTTGACCACTCCCTCCTCGCCGCAAAAGCAACATCGGGATGAACAAACAGTGTGTAGCCTGCGGCGCTGATGCCGAGTCGGTGTACTGCCGCGTCCAGGGCACCAACGGGCTCGCTGGCAAGCACCACCGCTACGCCCTCTTCCTCCGCACAACCCCCACCGCTTTGTGATGTTTGCAAGGCCTGTCACCTCCCGCGGCTGATTCCCTCTGCTCCATCGCCTACGCGGTGCTAAAGCAGCTGCTCGTGAGGAAATTTTGCAGGAGAAGAGGGGGTTTCTCTTGTGCCAGGAGGACCGCGCGATCTCGTGCAGGGACGGCGATGTCGCGATCCACAGCGCGACTGCTGTCACCAAGAAGCACTGTAGGTTCCTGCTGACCGTCGTCCGCGTCTCCGCCGTCCCGATCCCGTCGTCGCAGGCGGTGGAAGCCGAGGCGGTGGACAGTTTGCATGGAAGTATCATCAAAGACAGCAGCAGTGTGTATGGCCACCATGGGGGCGGCGACGAACAGCATCTCGTAGCAGCTGATCAAGATGCTGCCGGGGTGGCATTCTGCCCGACGCGCTTCCGATTAGGCTTCCTCAGGCGGTCAGGAGATTGCCCGCGAGCAGCCGTAACAGGAGGCCGAGGATCTCCGTGAGGTGCCCGAGCATTGTAAGAGCGACAGAGCAATCGCAAAGAATCCACTCACAGATTTCTTCCAAAAGATCAGAATCATGAAGAAAATAACGGACGATGACATGATCCATTCCAGATCGGAGGGGCATTATTTTTTAGCTTTTGGAGTGCCTCAGGCATCAGCTTTGCACCTCATCTCCGAAGAAGAAGAGCTTTTTGTGATGCTGCTGCGGCTTTCGTCAACCTCAGCACAGATTGTAGTGTTGCCGTCTTTTTTTTTCTCTCCTCTCCTTTTTCTGCACAATGAATATCATAATATCCTCAAGTTTGGATATTATTGTATTCATCTTGAGACCTTGAACTAAGATCTTTTTCTTTTCTGCATATCAGCTTTATAAAGTTGAAACTACTATATACTGTCTGTGAGAATTTGGTAGCATTACTCTGAATATAAGTTGCACTAATATGGTAAGCCCAGACAGAAACATTGTTTTAGCATTGTAGCTACAACCACTAATGGCATTTCCTTTTAAGACCATTTACAGTGTTTACAGACCATTTACAGTGTTCATTCGACCACCAACAAACTACAATATGATGATTTGACAAGGAGCATACAGGTGCTGTGATCATATATGGGAACAAGCAGGTTCCCATAGCATGTTCTCTTTTGTAAATTCTTATAGATGATCTCCACAGCTTCCAGTGGGTTGGTTCATCAATGTGCTTGCTTGCAGAACAATAAGATCTTTATAATATGAACAAGATGGACAAATATGGAGACAGAGACATTTTGCCTTTAGAAACGAAAAGAATTTGCAGTTCCCACAAGGTAGAACCTTCTAAAAACAACAGAGCATGCACCTTCTACAAACTGATGAAGAAAATTTATTGTACAGCAAAAGCAACAAGGTAGTTGACCTGACACACAAGGAAAAACAGTTTCAATATAAGTTGCATAAAATAACAAGAAGAACTAACAGCTCATTATCTTATCACAACAAATGCCAAGGAAATGTAAGATATACCTGTAAATAGGAGGGCCACTACTTATGAAGTGAAGGTAATGATACGATCAGCAATCCTAGTGCGGCAAAGAGGGCACTCTGAGCAGGCGAGTGAGCAAGATTTACACACTGATTCAATGCCAAAAAGACCATTAATCGCCAAACAAAACAAGACAACTGCTGAAATAACTGCCTGGTGTAAATGAAAGTGCTTACAGCAAAAATGCCGGCAAGGAATAAGTACTGCAGCAGTTGGTGATTCAAAGCATACTTTACAAACATGAGAGTTTGTCTCCCCAGTCCCTGAAGAATCAATTTCTCTTTCCTTCATCTCCTGAATTTTGGCCTGAACAGATTGCAAACTGGTTATCCATATCTGTTATCCATGATTCCTGGAACAGATTGTAAACTGGTTATCCATATCTATTATCCATGATTTGTTGAAGTTGAGACCCTAAAATTTCCATTCCTAGTATAGCTGCAATACCATATTGTGACAAATGATGGGCATAACATGATAATGATACAGTAGTTTGGGGTAAGCTGTTTTTCTCTGAAATCCATTAACTTTACAAGTAATTGTTCTTTTCTAGTAATTTATGTTTATGCGTGTGACAGAAAAACAGTAACACCTAGGTACTTGAAAAACAATGTCAATGCCCACTTTGTCACCCTTCGACATGGTCAAATGTCCTCCTAACACAGTCCAATACCGTTGATATGGTCAAAATGCATTTTCACACCATACTATTTATTATGGCTAACAGAATTTACACATTATCACAATACTCTTTGCCAAAAAGATGGGTAATGGCCTGCACTTTTGATGAAGTGATGCAGAAAGCACCACCACCTCCCAATCCCCCATGGGAATAAGTTAGATTGGTTCTTTTCTGTGTACCCTGTGTGTTGTCATCCATGTATTATGAAAACAGCCTTGGTTAGTAATTATGACTAGACCCAAAAAATTTACATATGAGATTAAGAGAAATACGTCTTATTTTATTTTTAAGAGATTACAAACACTCAACAATCCAAAACTTCCTAAATTTTTTCAAAAAAAAAATCCAATATAATTTAACCTCTTTTGCTAGCTCAACCACCAACCATCTTGTCCTGTATCATTCAACCCTCTACCACTGTCACATTGACCTCTCTTTCAATGTTTAGGAGCCCATGATCTATTAACAAAACCAGCATAATCATATTACAATATTCTTTTACTCTTCCTCTGCTTTTGCAACTATCAACAGTAACCACTAGCACCTCAATCATGATTAATGAGCTCAAAATTGTAATAAAATATACAGCTTATCAGCAAACTAGGCATGCAGAAAAAATGCCTTGACGCAAAGTGGCACCAACTTGAAATAGTTGATGCCAGGTTGACTAGCACTAATCAGGATTTTGAAGCAATGATTTATCAAACCTCAAATATCAAGCTATGCTCTATAGCTGACACCATATTATTGGACAAACTTTGTAGATGATAATTCAAAGTACTTGCCTCAAATGTAAACAAAATATGATTAGATCTCATCTCACCTTATAATTTGAACAATTCAATTACTAGAGTATCAAAGCAAATAAAAAAGGAGCAATTTATTATATGGAAGACAGGTGATCACTACCATTATCAGATAATAACGTCAGAAAAGGCGATATTAGCAACAATTAGACGCATACCATTATCAAGTCAAATGCATCCAAACTGACAATCAAGATCTAACAGATTGTGCTGGGCAGGTGTAGATTTTAATGCTATCCAACGTCTAATGATAGAATGGTGAATTTGAATATGCCACTTATCAATTACTAACAAGTAGAAGAAAAACTTCACATCTAGGAATAAATACGTCAAAAGCTGAAACTTACCTTTAAGCGAACAAGCAAAGGTTCCAACTCCTGATTTTGGTTCAATTGTTCATTATTTGGCTTTTCCAAACTATCTACTGCTTGTCTTTCCTGATGAAGAGAACCATTGTGTTCATCATTGTTCATTTTAAGATCATCTGAAACATCAACCAAAATGGTAGAACTTTTATCTGCAGTAAATTCAGATGTACATAAGGGACCTTTTTTCAGCTTAGCAACAAGCACCCACATGCTAGCCAAATCATTCTCTAATGATATTTCTCGTTTCTTTGCTTCTTCAAGTTTTTTCTTATATTCTTTTTCCAGATGCACTTTTTCAGCCAAAGCAGCTTCTAAAGTATCTTCCTTTTGTTTTCTGACCTGCAATTCCATCCTTATGTCATCTAGATCAAGATTCCGGTTAACCATATCATCAGATCCTGTGTTTCCAGCATCGCCACTTCTACTAGGAGGCCGGCCTTTTCGTCCTAGTTTGATCCCATCATTCTTGCTTTCAGAAAACCTACGGATGGTACCATTAGCAGTTTTGGAATAAGCAGCTAAATCTTGAATAGCCAATAACTCTTTAGCCTGTCTTTCATTTTGTAGTGAGAGCTTTGTTACTTCCTCAGCCAAATTCTTGAGCTCAACCGCAGCAGCAGATGCCAATTCTTTTGCATAAGAAGCTTCTTCAGCTAATTTCTGATTCTGTGAAAGCAAACCATGATTCTCTTTGATCAATTGATGACGTTCAAGATTTAGTTTCTCATTCTCAGCCTCCTGTCAAAGCATTTTGACCCAGTTAATTTATTAAAGCCAAAAAATGTATGCAGACCTAGTATGATGGAAAGAAAGTGAAAAGAATAAAAATGATTGGCATTATGAGACAACCAAAGAGATGAGTGTTCCCTGCTTTGATCTCATGTGGCATGCTTAGAATTGAAAAGATCTGATCAACTGGTACATGAAAACACATACAGACTGGCAACTTTGCAGACAATAGCAGCAAAATTATCAAAGGCAAGTACATGAGCACATAGAAAGAGATGTAGCAATTGTTAAGGTCAGCTATTGTTGTCATATTAGAGACCACTAAGCGCAAAGCCAGCCATTTATTGTTAAGTAAAGCAATCAAAGACATTTAGTTTATTGTGAATCACAATAAGCTGCATCTAGACATCAAAGAGAAATTAAAACACAGTAAAGTTACAGTAGAAGAACCGTTAGAAAAAGGACAACCTATGCGTTGCAGTTTAAAAACTTAATAAAAATGAGTGCTTATTTGCATCATACGACCCAATTACCTGCATATAATTCCACACTACAACCAAATATAAAATAAACTAATCCATCCTTCTGATACATGAGGTCTGCAAGACAAATAACCAACCTGTGTACAGCAAAGGGTATCTGTAATGCCTATATCACATGCATGAAAATCCTCTGGCCACTTCATTTTATGCCCATGAAGCAGGTAAGTGGTTGGGACAAGCAACAGCAGATCAAATCATACATAACCAAGAAGCCTATAAAGCATGAGTGCGCCATTAACAATAACCACATGCACATATACTGTAAAGCATGTGATTATCATTAGTAATAAAAGAAAGCTATTGCACTTTTAAACTAAACAAAAGACCTTGACACAAGACAAGAAACCACAATACTTTAAGCATTGAAGTCCAACTTAGCATGAAAGAGTGTAAACACTAACAAATAAAATATTACCTGATATTGAAGTTTACTCTTCAAATCATTAATTTCTTCTGTGCCAAGTTCTTCATGCAGTTTTTCATTTTTGATTGAAGTTAGTTGCTGTTGAAGAACAAGCACTTTATCTTCCAGCTCCTTAATCTCAGAGCACTGAGTATAATATCCAGATTAAAATTTAGCAAGGAATTTAGAATAAACATATAAAATAAATATAATGGTTGATTAAGTCAGACGAAGCTAAGTGTATCATCCCAGTGACATTTAAATAGTAGATTGTTGATGCTCAAATCTCCCACACTGACATGAATGAATACCATTCCAGCAGATTAGATTCAATACATGCCTTGTATGTGAATTTTTCTGTTGAAATTTGAATTGTGATAGTTATATTTTGTTTGCCATACCAAGGGAAAAGAAAGAGAGAACTACATTGGCTGGGGCAACGAACTGAGTCATGAGAACTGGTGTTTGCATGCTATCTAATAAAATGTATGTCAATTATACAAATACACAATAATTCAGGACATTGAACCTGATTACCAACCTTCAGTTGCAGCTGCTCTTGAAGGATACGGTTATCAGCTGATCTTAACTGCAACAAATATAGTAACAGTATAGTACAGCTTTTGAATAAAAAAGGAAAATTTTAAATATATGACATAGTTCAATAGATTAAAAACATTAAAAATATAACTCAAGTTAAATCACCTCTAGCTCAAAGCCCTTCTCATTGCACTGAGTCATTAATCTCGTTACAGTCTGTGAGTGGAAAATAAATTGAAGAGTGACTTGGAGTTCAACTATAAAAAAAAAGAAACAGCTGCATAGAGAAGATGGCATACCTGCTGCATTTCAACCATTGAGGCATTGGCCATTGAAGCTTCGCCACTTTCAATAATGCGCTGTTCCAACACTCTCATCTGTCTCTGTTTCTCCTGGATTTCATGCTCCAAATTCTCGATCTGTGGTAAATAGAGTTATGCCGAGACAAACTTTTAGTAAAACAAAAGTTACATCTCCTTGCAGATTTTCCAAAGTAAAGGTCAATTTTAAATTATCTAAGTTAAGTGAAGACAAATCTGTAAATAATTAGGTCAAGCTGAAATATTGGCAAAAATGGCAACAAAAAAAGTCTTAGAGGGAAAACGAGGTTGTAGGAGGCAAAAGAAAAGAAAAGAGTATAAAAACCAGACCAGATCTTAAGCAGAACATTCATAATACAACTTCCAATGGATGTGATCACAAAGAAAAAACAAGGCAATTTACTGGCCTAATAAACCAAAGAGACTCGAGTGGGAAACATTAGCTGAATGATGCAATATCATAAATTTTAATACTCTTTAACAAAGGAAAATAAATGGAAGGAGAAGAAAAATAGAAAATCTAACCGAATGAGAGACTTAGTAAAATGCCAAGAAATTCAAATAAACCTATGACCCAACTCAAAATTCGTGAGATTCAATTACCAATTTGCAATGTCAGGTAGTTCTATAAGACCTATGACATGATTGCTGAAATACCAACTCAAGATACGAGACAGCTCGATAGTTTCTTTATCATCTAGCTAGAAGCAGGTATAGATTGAATATCACAATGGACTGCAACAGCAATAACCAAGGAAAAATAACCAAATCTAAGCAAATTATAGCCAACTCAGAAGACGCAAGAGCATAATAAAAAATACACATAGTATTAGAATGTAGCAAGGGCAACTTAGTATTTTCCAGCTGAAAGGACATGAGCTTTAAGAATAGGAACTGTACCTGAATCCTTGTGCCATCTGGATCATTTACGGACTGCTCCATCAGTCTCTTTAGTGTACTGGTACCAAATGCAATCTCACCAGCAAGCATCTTTATTTGTTCGACTAGGAGATCCATTTCATCTGACATTGTTATCCTAGTCTGTGTATGTTAAAGAAACAAGTCAACCATAATTAAGGTATACCAAATTTAGCAGCGGTCAGGAGTAATGTACTTTATGACATGAAAATTCGTCTCCCAAAGTAGGCTAATAAAGTAAGTGCTACCAACATCGATACAGATAAAACCCTGGGTACTAAAGATATATAAGATATACGATCGATATCTCATAAAAAAATACATAATAAACATCTAAGAATATCTACCATAAGCATCATGGTCTTCAAAAATTAATTTATTTTGTCTTAGCAAACCTCATCCACACTCAATAGCCAGGTTTAGTTTCCAATGTATGCTATCAGATTTAACTGAAATCCAAAGAAGAGCACCTAAATGAAACTATTGCAATAGCATCATGTATGAGATATTAAAACCAAAAACATTTGTGATTTCTTCCTGCTTAATGAACAAGGAAATTTGTTCCTATTCACAAGAACAATTGTCTTTAACACCAATATAATAGCAGAAGTCAATGAACAGATGCACAATTCACTTGAAAATTGAAAACACTTAGCAGAAACAAGATCTTATAATTAAAAAAGGAAACATATACACCATCTCAGCAAATTTTATTCGTCGTATGGTGTAAAAATTTAAATGAATTTTGCTCAGAGAAAAAGGAAAGAGATTATACAATGATAGAGTCACATTTCCAGGCTAATTTCCAATAGAAACCAATGAACAGGTCAGTGAGGACCAGCAACAACCGATAACTGCAACAATAAGTTCAATTACCTGCTCTGCATCTGTGATTGAGCCACTGACTGCGGAATGTTCTTCACTCAAATTACTTGAATATCTTTGATTTTTAACATCAGATAATGTGTCTAATGAATCTGACAGAGCAGAAGCCACAAAACCATTCAGGGTGCTCTCACTTTCAAGAACTGGAGAATGCTCACGTGGTATATCCATTTTCTGCAAAGTAAATTTGTGACAAACACTATCACACTTATGCAAAAATTTAGCCACAAACAAAATGGCACTCCAAGTCATAATGATTGAACTGCATTAATAATGACATCCAAAACACACACTGATCATGAGCTAGAGGTTGGAGAATAATGTCAAATGATAAAAGATCCACATTGGAGAGGGCATCTAGCATAGCAAGCATTTTTACAATGTATATGGTATAATAAAAAATAATCTGATAATATAACTGCTCCTACAAACATCCAAGACTAAACAGATGTGTTCGTGTAGCAAAAGCCATTATTGACATGCATGATATTTCACAGATATATTTGTGGCTGATAGGAAAATATCACTGATGGGGTAGAGAAATGTCATAATATAGTAAGTGGCTGTTGAGAGAAAACATTTTATGAGACTCCATACTGGAGCATCAACTTACTATTCTATGAACAGACTTAGTTGAGGATCCACAAGTGAACTTTGAGCTAAAGTACATCGAAGTCGGTCACAAAAGAATTATCTTTGACCTTCATTTTGCAGGGCATTCCATACTAACAGTGCATTATGATATGCAACTTAAGCTGCTTTATTTTTCATGCATGATTTTCTGCTACAATGACAATTTACATTTTTTTAGGCAAAGCATGTGATATGAAATGTGCATCAAAGTTTCAAATATGAGGATTAACTAGTGCATTGGTTGATGAAAGTAACTCCAATATTGCATCTGGAAAAAAGGCAAACCAACTAAAGTTTTTCAATGAATCTGATTAAGATCAAATCACCCTCACTCACAAATATAGTAAATCAGACACCAAGGATGTTGAAGTCATCATGTCCCAAGATTTTCTTGTTTATCTTAGGCAACTTTCTTTGTTTTGATAAAAATGCATTTAATTCTGCCACAGAGGAATATTGCAAATGAATGGACACTTAGTCTAAGTCCAATGAGCAACCTTGTTTCCATGGTAACTTATGGAACCTGGATGTTAGTGCCAACCATCAGTATTGTTTGTGAAAGACTAACCCTAGGATTCGTTTCATATATCACCAGAGCAAAAATACTATAAATACGAAAAATGATACAGGCAAGGATCTTCTGCTTGTTTCATAGACGATTATATAGAACCCAACCTATAGATAGGTTGTTAATGTTTAACACTGGAAAAGCTTAAAGTGATAAAATTTTAAGCCTAGTCTGTAGAAGCAAAAATACCATAAGGGAAAGAACTCTAATGGAAATTAACAACAACAAGTCATATTCCCGCATTCCCAACAAGTTGGGGTAAGCTAAATGGATGTTTTTCCCACAATGAGTTCTCTTTAGAGCAATAAGTCAATGAAAATAGTAAAACTAAGTTGGAGCTAGGATTGATAGACAAGGCCAGAAAATTTGCTCCTCCATAACTACATAAGAGAAAGACTGTAACAAGATATTTCTAAGTACGTCTTTAACCAAGTTTCGGTCCACAGATCAGCATGTTAGGTTACAAAGAATGATTACAAAAGATTTTAGTGAAGGTAATTTTCTGACAATGCTCTCACCAAGTTAGAAATTTGCAAAAATTAAATAAAAATTTTAAACATGTTTATCTATTACTATCAAGGAAAGACCTAAATCAAATTCTGCTGCCCAAGGAGCAAGACAATTTGGAGAAAAAATGGGACCCGCCCTAGATCTTTGAACAAAAACAAGAAACAATGCCAGTGTAAAATTAATTTTTTACTATAGCAGTGAGGAAGGAGGAAAGGTATGAAACGAAACCACACCTTTCTGAAATTGTAAAAACGGAAGAAAATTCTTGGCATAACCAGTTCTTTGTATTCAGTTGTATACTAATCCTTGAGATGACCATATCTTGAACAAACTACTAAAACATTTCATAGCAGTCATAGGTTCAATGGCTTATTCACATAGAGCAGTGATTTAAAAAGCACTAGGCGCCAAAAGGCGCCAAAGTCCAAAAACACCTGAGGCGCTCGCCTGAGCGAAGCGAGGCGCTAAAATATAAAAATATATAATATAATTAATAAATATAATTATTTAAAATTTTAAATAAAAATATGCTATTAAATTAAGAAAATCTAAGATACAAAATCAAAATAATATATTATTAATCTAATAAATACAAATACTATTATTAGTATACTGTTAACAGTATACTGTATACTGTTAACAGTATACTGTATACTGTTAACAGTATACTGAAAGAGAAGGAAGAGGAGTGTAAGGGGGTGCTGACTGAGAAAAGAGGAAGCAGTAGCTGCAGCGAGAGCGGGAGTGTAAGGAGGCAGCGACAACGAGAGTGTAAGGAGGCAGCGGGAGCGGCGAGCGGCAGTAGTAGCGAGCAGTGACAGCGACGAGCAGCGGGAGCGGGAGCGGGAGTGGCAGTGGCAACGAGCAGGGTTAGGGTTGGGCAGCGACAGCTGATATCGGTGCTTTAGTTGGTTTGATTGAACCAACTAAAGCACCGGAGACCGAACCAGACCTAAAACGTTGGTTCGGTCGCCTGGTTTAACCCAGGCGCTCACCCGAAGTGCCCAACGCCTGGGCTCGGGCAAGCGCCTAGGCGGCGCCTCTTTGAAGCGCGCCGCCTGGAAGTGAAGCGAGGTGCTCAGGCCTTGCCTCGCCTCGCCCGAGCGCCTTTTTAAATCACTGACATAGAGCAAGTCCAACATGTTTTCTTTCAACCATCAAGTCCTCTTCAACATAACCAGAATAAGTTTTCACTATTTCTTTTTTCCTTGACTAATATACTTATTATTTCTCATCCAGTAAGTCATGTAACATAGAAAGTCTAGTTCTGCATCATTCTGCTATACCAACTTCAAATTATTCTGATTCAAATAATGGTTCGCCTTAGAGAAGTACGGTAACCAAGTTTGTGCAATCCAAGTTAACAAAATGATATCGAGTTGCCACAAGATATGTACTTAAGGACAGAGAAAACCCAATGAATAGACAGAGAATCAAAACTTAAAAGAATAATGAGGCAATAAAATTAATGTACAAGTCAAAAGTGAAATCCTGGATGGCAAAGATCATAATCAATAAAAGATTGTTTTCAGCAACTAGAAAAAGATTGTATATTATGTTAATGCTGATTCCGTTCAGTGTGGAAAATCTTCAGAAACAAAAACATTCTTTTAAAGAATCAAACCAATTATAGATTCAAATTGAAGCTAAGAACTTACATCATCCTCCCCTAAAGAGAGACGGCGCTGATGCCCAGGTAAATCAGTTAAACACCCAGGAATAGAGTTCTTGGTAGAAACAAGTATCAGCTTGGTCAGCCTCTGTATTCTACTCATTAAAGCAGCTTTGGCCTCCTCTTCCTCCTCTAAACGGTATTGCATCTTCACCTGGCCTTCCTCAAGCTGTTTGCACAATACAAAAACATGATCCCTTCTAAGTATTATAACTAAGTCTGAGGTTTTGTAGAGACCAATGTCATTCTTTGTCCTATGAAAGAGAATATGCACTTAAGGCATCTGGAGGACATATTCAATGTTTACCTTCTGGCGCAAGCTCATTATTTCATCATGACTGGCCCCACTTAGCATCCCTTTCTTCAAATGCTCAAGTTCTTGCTTTAAGCTTGATATTTCTTTCTGATACTTCTTGATCAATGACTTTTCATCAATAATCTGCAATGACACTCAAAAGTCAAAACTATTCATCGGCATTATGATATAAGAGTATCAACAATTCCAACCAAAGAGAAAAGAGTATGTCTACCCTGTTACGAGAAGCATAAATTTCAACTTGTTTTGCCCTACTCGCAAACTTGAGTGTGTTATGAGTTTCCTCCATGCTACCAGATGCAGGTGTAACCGTGCAAATGAGCTGCACAATGCACAATACTTGTAAGAAATTTTCACCTTCAATAAACAACTAAGCTAAAATATGGAAGAGTCCGACCAGATAATTGCATGCAAAAGGAAATTGAGAGATGTAATGATGGAAAGCCAAGCCAAACAAATAACAATCACCTAGAGACATTACAGATCACACTGAAAAATGATCATCAGGCATATGACCAGTCAAGACTCACCGATACATGCCCATGGCCACTTAATGAGGTCTGCAGTAGTCGAGTCAATTTAGAATCACGGTAAGGAATATGAGATGCTTTCCCTTCACTAAGCTTTCCAATCACCTTTAAAAAGTTATCAACAAAGTTAGTTTTATAACTGGAGAACCAAATATTCACAAACGGCTACAAATTACACAACACACCATATGTCAATGATTGTGTAACACATCTAAATTAACAAGTTACTCAGATATATCAATGTTATCTACATATGTTGATAGGTTTACAATGTTTTCAAGCAAAATTTGGTTCTACTTCGTAGGCCTAAAATGGCCTTTATGAGACCACAAAAGAAAGTGTGTATGCTGATATTTAGTTCAGACTTACATTAAAGTGAAAAAGAGGGAACTCAGGGAAGGCCATATTACAACCAACAAATAAGTAACTTTGATCTAATTTACTCCTTTCGGCACCAAGGTTTGTGAAATTAGAACACAGCTCCTTTTGATTTGATGACATAAATTGTCATGAACATTCAATATCGGCAAGCTCCAATCCAGAATTCACCCAAAAATAGTAGAAGCCCAGATACATCTCATTGGATTGTCTCCAATTTAAAAGAATAAGAATCTGCTACAGGACCAGCTGAGCCATCGGATATACAAGATCCAGCAATAGTGGAATGAAAAACCACCAGAGAAAGTGGTAGAGGAGGAAGAGAGGAGAGAATGATACAGAGTACCCGTCATGAAGTTGGGGCCAATAGGGAAAATTTTGCCAAACAGGTGAAGGGCATACAACAATTGACCGAGCCATGACTAAAGTGAGGAGGAGAAGGGCTTGGGTCTGAGCCTGGGCTCTCTTCCTTAGGAACAATTGAATGCCTGATTAGGTAAAAGAAAAAGAACAAAAGAGAAGGAGAAAATAACAATAGAAGTGAACTAAAGAAATGATTTAATTAAAGATATGTTTTAATTAGTGATAAATAGAACTTAAGATACAGTTAAAGGATATATATATATATGCATATATATTGATTTGATATTGTTTTAATATATTATACAATAATGTATAAACAGTAATAAACAATATATAATAAATTATATAATCTGAATAATAAAATAATATATGACAATTCTATACAGAAAAATATATCATGAAGACTATTCTATGAGATATAAAAATATATAAAGCAGTAAACATATCATCAAAACAAGCAATTATATATAAAAAAAACTAGAATGGTTGGTTGCAAACTTCTATTGGGAACGTAAGTATGAACTTATAATATTTAAGTTTGTCAAAATGGTAATAAGTGTTTGAGAATTAAATTTTCAATTTTTTATGTTTCTGAAATAACTAAGTCAAGGTTGAATTAAAATTAAATCATTTATTGATTTTTTGTAGCAAAATTCTAGTTTTTCTAATTCAGTTTAAATTATTTAAATTCATAACATCCGAGCAAATCCCTCCAATCCCATTCTTTTAAAAGGTCGATCTTGGAAAAAAAAGTATGATCTTGATCCTAATCCCGATCTTAAAAACCTTGTAATATCATGATTCCTAAATTATATTGCATCTTGAAAATCCTACATAATGTATATTGATTGTAATTGTATGAGAGTCTAATCATTAGACATGACTGTCAACCAAGGAATCTATTTCTAAAAGATCCTAGAGAGGAATCATAAATCAACTCATAAAAACAGACAGGAAGAATAGTGAATGTTGTTAATGAAACATTCAACATAAAATATTCAATAATATTGGGCACCTACTGTTCCAAGAGTTAAAAGGCTTTTGTTAATGTAAGATCCTTCCTTTCTTCTTAGCCCAGTTGTCTCAGTTTTTGAACTCTCAGATCCTGCTAGATCAATAAGATTCTGAAAAAGAACATCATAGGTCAGGTACAGCAATAAAGTCAGCCAAATGCACAACATGCTTAAAGCTCAGAACCAGAGCTTACAAGTTGAGAATACATCACTCCATCATATTCATCACCATGAGCACTGCTTTCAATCATCTGCGTAAGTAATCATTCAATCAAAGTAAATGAGAGATGATAAAAAATGACATCGTAAGAGTCAGCACAATGCTTCACATGATAAAGAGTCAAAAGCAACATCTCATCATTGTGTGTAGCTAATATGATTATACAGCAAATATGATAAGCAAATAAGAAAGTCAAACTGGTAATGGCAATTTTTTTTTTATCAAACACAAAAGAAGTTTCACAAATTTTGAAGTAAAAGAGTTAATGACTTCTTTGCACATTTCTTTGTGCAAAAATTTGGAACAGAATTAAAGAAAATTGCTTCTTTCTTATATACAAAATTGTTCTTTCAAGTTTCATCATTTATGTATAAATAAGAGACTTATATGTATCAGTATATACTGGTAAAGGTAAAAAAGGGATTCTATATCAGTTATAAACCTGCAATATTTGCAGATCATCCAAATCATCATGATATACAAAAGTTGTAATTACCGATAATTTCTCCCTTAATATAAATTAATTACTATAAATAATGTATTGCTTTATTATTAACTTCCATGTTTGGGTACTATAGTTAATGAAATGATTAACTTTGATTTCCTTAATCATGTGGACAAGTTAGGAATTCTGCTAATCAATTAAATTATTAATTGATTTATTTCCCAATGAGTGATTTGATTTTTAGGAAGTAAATAGTTTACATTCTATTTTCGTGTATAAACCATAAAAAATGAATATTATATTTCTCTCTTTGTGTGTGAAAATAAAATAAAAAAATAAAAAATAAAAAATAAATTATTACTTATTTTTTGGAGACATCTCATCTTCTCCTATGAAAAGGGAACTCCTCCTCCTTCATTCCTCATCAAGTCTGCTAAAGGGAGAATTGAGAAGAGGACTTCCCAAGAAGATGACCTCGATAGTCGAGAAGAGGTTGGATCCTTTTTTTAATTAGCTGTGATTTATATTTTTTTATGCATAATGATATTTTAATTTTAAAATTTCATGATTAGTAAATAATGATAATTGAATTGTGATATTAGAATGATTATTTGATTTATATTGATCTCTTAAGCTTAAGTGAATTTTAATATTGATTTAATTATTAAATTTTTATTTTTGGATTAACATAATAATTATAATTTATTTAATTAGATATATCTATGTTTCAAGAATTATGTGTGAATTTCTATAATGTAATTAGTTTTAAATTTAAGAACATGAATTTAAATTTTTTAATTCATGGATAGGAGTTATTCTCATTTCATCCACCCACTAAAATATCATGATAACATTTGGGCAAGGACAAATTCACCCAGCAAGAAAATCTATTTATCCAGCATGACAGTTGGTAAGAGCTGCATGACTTGATAAGCAAACAAAAGCACATAAAGATAGGATGCTAAAAGTAATGTTTGGACTAAATAATGAATATAGTATAACACTGAAATACCAACAGTTAGACTGACATACCAAGGTAAAAATTGTGTGACTTCTGCTACTGAACAGGTTAAAATTGTTAGAACCAACATGACGATGTTCTGAAATTCACACAAATAAATCATGAGAACAACTGATGGCTACATAAAAATTTAGAAAAAAAAAATTATAAGCTATTTTGGTAACCTAGCTGATAAGTATGCAACCAGTGAATATCCAAAAGCAATTATCCTGGAGGTAACAGTAAGGTAGACATCATTTTATTATGCAGCAATAAATACCTAGAACAAATAATTAAGCTTGATAAGTAGTTCTAGCTTGATCAGGCCTTTAGGGTACTTTGGTAATCTTTATTTCTCTTATTAATGACAAAAACTTTCATGAGTGATGGTTCACATAATTCTTCAAAAGATAGCTCTGACTTGACTGCAGAATAACTTCAAACAGCAGATCTTTTGGACAATTCACAGGCAAGGAGACCATATACTTATCAACACCAAATTAATACCCAAAATAGAGGTATCCAGTTGTTAGGAGGCAAATTAAGTGTGATGGAAAAAAAAAGAAATTTACCTATAAGTATAGCTAGTCAAAACAAACTAAAAGTATAAAGTATAACCAGAACTTTAAGAAAAAGTAGAATAAGCTCGACGACACCCTCATACCAAGAAATATGAGGGAACTTACACTATTCCAAACTCAATATAATACATCATAGAACACATTGGGATTAAGGTCAAAGAAAAAACGTAACAAAGGACACCTAGGGAGACCACATACTTAGCAAGTTTATAATGTGTTCAAGCACCAGTAAACCCTTTATGATTCTATTGACCGTAATATCCTAGCAGCTCCAAAACTTACAGATAAACAAATAACATATAAAATAAATGGCTATAAGGAAACCCCAAAACACTAAATAAAAAGTAGGCTAGATCTATCTTGACACTCTTAATGATCCAAGTTATTCCTAGAAAATCCTAATTGCAACGGCAATGCTCCAAAAGCACCAAACCATACAGGATATGGGCTGTATTTCTTGTAGAAATCCACAAGCTCAGAATGCACTGTTTGAGAGAAACAGTAAACAGACTCAATTTCTTTGACCCTCCACCAGCATTACTCACTAAATTTTTGCTTTGAAACAAGGATACATGTTCACTAAAGGGCATGATAATTGTAGCTTAAAATATTCCAGATGTCTATTTTTGTTGCATCAACATGTAAGTCAATCATACTGAAACTAGTTTTCCTATACAATGATATATTAGTCCATCAATACGATCCTTAGAGATTGCAAGGTCTTAAATCAAATCTTGTTCTCAACACTTGTCCTTGGGAAAAAAAAAGCACTTACACAACCTTAGCTGCACCAAATAACTTTGTACCGTAAAATAATATGTACAGCAGGAAATGTTGCACAAAATGAACTAACAGGGCCAAAAAAAGTTAAGTATCTAGATTGTAACATGATACTTTGCATATTGTGCCAACATTTTAAAGGACAACAGCTCCAAAAATGCAACCAAAAGGATACTTTCTGTAAATGTTAAACAATGAGGCTAACAGAATCTGAAATCTCAAAACACTTTCTGATCGAACAGGTTCTAGAGAAACACCCATTGTTAGAACTACAAGAACCAAGATCTAAAAATTAATTCAATCAAGAAAACAATAGTTTTAACAGTATGACAGAATAAAAGATTATCTGCATTAGGTAACAAAACACTTCAACGTTATGATGAATCTGCTTTTCAGGCTGCCTAGACTAATAAAAGAAAAAAAATTTCCATTAAATAATTAACAGCAGCCACATAGAACATTAATGACCCTATTGATAATGAAATGTGTCACTTTAATGAAAGTTACAGTGGTCACATCTTTGAGTGGGACATAGCCACAGAATATATGTTAGTTAAGCACTTTTCCTTGTTTTCAATAGGTGAACTTTCATCAATATGCCGACTTTGTTTGTATTAGTTAGAGATTCAGATAAGAAACAGAATCAGTGTCGATAAAGTTTCACCTTCACCAGCAGCAATGAAAGAAAGTGCGTGCCCAGGAGATAAAACAACTTCCTCCTTTATACCCTCAACATAAGTACCCTGCAAAAAGGTTCCACATTAGATAAGAAAAAAGGAAATGTTTCACATCAGTGTAATGAGAAACAATGAAAAAAAAAATAGAAACTAAAATTCATTAACCTAACAGCAAAATAGCTAATCACATCAATAAAAAAGATATAACTTCACCTAAATTACTGAGATCTAAAGTTACATTGAAATTTTCAACAGATGGTCATTAAGAAATGGCAAAACATAAATATGGAATTCAAAAGGAAAAACAAATTTCCCAGCAGCCCGATAAAAAAAATTATCAATTTCAAATCTAACTCCCAAATTGATAATTAATAATATAAACTCAAGAATTGCAAGAATTAGATAAATTTGTTTCCGCATATCCAATTATACGATATATCATCACAATAGTCATCTAAAGGCTGTTCCTCAAAATGCAAGTAGCTCTCTGTACAATCAAATATACTTGCTCACTTATGGGTTCATGCAAGAATGTAGAGTTTTTTAGGATACCGATCTTTCAGTTTTTCAGAAATTAGTGAGCAATCTTGAACTTCTGTGGTATATGAATGCGATGATACCAATTTGAGTGATCAAAATCAGTTGCATCATACAAAGTCAGAAATAATAACAATCATTAATTCGCATGTTAAGACAAAGATTAATTCCTTCAGTAGAAGTTCAGTAGCTTTGTAGCTCAAGTACAGGAGAAGTTCCAAGAAAAAAAAAAGGCAAGCCTATCAACAATCACATTATCTTCCATCAAAACGTGAGCATTTTGTGCCTCACAATTAGACAAAAATTATGTACAATCCACAGAAAAAAGCACCTTTAACTCACAAACCAAGCATATTACGAGCATAGCATAGCATCATATACACAAGATCTGTACATATTCAGATGCACCTAGCAATCAATGCCTAAAATATGATACTAGAAAAATTACTAGACAAACAACTTTACAGGTTACACATCATTATTTATACACCAAAGAAATTGGTCTAGTCATTATTTCTGCATGTGCTATGTACAACAGCTTCCATATACTGAGAAAAGCCAAAACATTTTCGTTTCTTGGGGGCCTATAGGAAGACCTTTAAAATGGATGATCATGATCATATGCAGAGTCCTGAATCATAGGAACCAGACTCTCCCATCATAGGTTTTATAGATGCAAATTCTATGCTCATAAGAAGAATCTCTTAATTGTTTAATATTAAGTTTTCACTCCCAATTAATACTAAAATATGCAAGGGGGGATGCAATTAACTTGACTCATAACAAAAAACATGATAGAGATCATTGATAGGACAAGAAGAATTAATAATTAATTGGACAAATTTCCAACAACTTCATACAACCCCAAGCCTTGCGGAAAGAAAAATATGTTGACAGTGCACCAATATAAAATGCAACAATATTTACGTCAAGTGGTAAGAGAAGAAAATATTTAATTTATTACTATCTAGACTTGTAAATCTAAAGAAGATACAACGAATGTCTGATATGAGAAAGTGATCCAAATAACCTCGTAGAAAGAGTGGTAACATGTTTAAATTGTATAGTGAAAGCAATATGTATATCATCTTAAATTAAAAAAACATAGCTCTCCATACCTGAGCATCTTCTCTTACGCGCAGGTTTTGGCCAGTGGGATCAAGCAAGTCATTAATAACCTACAATATAAGATAGTAAATAAGCAAAAAAAAAATTATATATATATATATATATATATATATATATAAAGAATATCTGAAATTGCATTAACTGAGGAAACTCAAGTTTGGCGAATTATTCACCACAGTATTTTTGTCATCAAAATGTCAGTACATTTGGCAGGCAAGTTAGACAATAAGACAATAATAATCTAGCAATCATATATAGATTAGACATTTAACTGGATTAGCAACTGCAAACATACAAATGAGTAAGACACTTTGATGAATCATCGAACAGATCCTTACCTCATTATAAATTTCAAGGTATGATACACGGAGTAAAAATTCTCTTCCTGGAGTCTGCCAAAGAAACTCAAACTTCGCAATCACACAATTTAATATTGTTTTAAAAAAATAACAAGTAGGTATTGCAAGAAGAAACATTCAATAAGCAAAATATGTTAAGATTATATTCTTTATAAATAAGAATTCAGTGATATCAAAACAAAAGAGAACATTCTGTGCAATAACATCACTCTTACAATGGAGTAAGAATTCTCTTCCAGGGTCTGCCAAAGAAACTCAAGTTTTACGATCACACAAATTGAACCATTCAAAAGAAAACTTGGTATGTCAAGAAGAAATATTCAGCACACAAGGTATGTTTAAATTAGTCTCTATATACAGAATTCAGCAACATCATAAAGATAATGTTCCACAAAATCTAAAACATGACTCGAATAAGATACCTAGCTTACTTGAAAGTCTACATGTGCAGATACCACAAGAGTATATATTTTACATTTTTACTTGCCCAACCTCTCTGGTTAAGTTTCTTTTGCTAAAAATATTCAACATATAAAAAAGCAATTGAACTAGAAAAATAGAATACATAATAAAGAAACTACCTTCCATTTTTCAATCCATGAGATGAAGATAAAGTAAAGCAAATGAGCTTTTATGCATCTCTAATCTTTTGAATATGTTAAAATTAAGCTGTCTTAAATATTATAAGCACTTAGATAAAACTAATTATTCTATTTACTAAATTATTGGTATCAAAATAATGTATAAACTTTAAAGCATCAACTGGAACATAGATTTTACAAATGCAATGGAACTAGTAACAATTTATTGACCCACGGTGAAATAAACGTTCTCAATTTCACTAGAAAACTATAGCAGATATCATGTTACAGACTGAATTTAAAAAATATATACTTGGCTAAACCTAATAGCAAAAACACTAAATAACATACATCTTGTATTATGCTGAAGACATCCTTTATGGCTAGTGGTATGATACCAGGAGACTTGGGATCACCCTATAAATGGAAATATCAGCAAAAAAGATAAGTTCAAATAAGGAGATTAATTCAGCTGCCTGGAAATTTATGAATATATCACAAAGTTTTACACCCAAATTAAAAGTCAAATGCTGAATTTCAAAATTACCACAGGTAACAAACAAGGACAACTTTTATTATCCAACCACTGTAGGTGGTCTCACAGTCAAGACTCATAAAACATAAAGAAGATAAATAACAACAAATATTAGAGAATGCAAAAAATAGCATGTGAATTAAAATTTTGGATTATCTTAAAGGATGAACTAGAGAATATAGCATGAGAAACTAAGAAGTAAATGACTTTATTGCAAAGAGAAGTAACTTTATACATTGAAGTAACTTTATACATTGAAATGTCACATCAAGAATTTGAGCTTAGCTCTAGATGCCACTGGCCGGATATCTAATATGTTGCACCTGATTTGGAATCTCAAGTAATAATGTTTGTTGACAATTTCCACAGGATTTTCTTCACTGGAAGCCTCCTCAAAAACTTGTGTAGATTGGATCCTTTTTTTTTTGCTTGATGCTGCATATCCAGTTAATGGAGTTCATTGATAAGAACTGTGTTATCTCAGATAGCCCACCCTGATCTAAATTGATGGTCAAGACCAAAAACCCATTTCAAAGTATGAATGAACAGAAATTTATGTGGATGTAGCATCATCTTTTCCTTTGTTACCTTTCACCCATCCTTTTTTCTCTCCTCCTATATACCTCTCCAAGATTTCTTTCTTCTTTGTTCTTTTTTCTTTGCTTTTGATACTATTATATGCTTTACTGAGCAACTACACATTAACCTACACTGGACCCAGTATGTATCATACTTGCTTTCATGCAACTTGACAGAAGATGAAGCTAGAAATCAATCACATGAGAAAAAAGAGGCTGATGTTCTCATCAGATCAGCGAAAAGGCATACAAGTGAAAATCAATCAAGTGACTATAGCAACATGTTATATAGGAGAGAATGAAAGTGTATTTGAGTTGCCGAAGAAGTGATTAGAATAGTAAGTTTTTGGCATATGATGCAACACAAGCTGACAAAACAAGTGACTCAATCTAATTTGTGAGCTTGAATAATCCAACAGTTTGTCAGAAGAAAAAAACAATTAACACATGGCAAGCCATTTCCAGACATGAAATCCATGAGAAATAGATAGGAAGTTCTGCTCCCTAAAGCATAAGGTGAAAAACTGAAAATTTTCTTTACCATGCGTTCCTCCATGAAAAATTGACCCACAAACTTTCCAAGGATAAGAATTTTTTAACAGCAGAATCAAGCGAGAAATAGTCCAACAATTCCGCAACATAATTAAAGGGCACTAAAACCAAGGGCACCAATTAGGATTAACCAAATCTTGGTACCATACATGAGCCCTTTTGCTATTTTTGGCAACACACGAGTAGCAATCTCTTGTAAGCATATTGGCAATGTGAAAACAATTTTTATTTCAGTTTCATTGAAGACGAGATTTATCAGGGGCAGCATCAAGATGAGATTTAGACACAATGGCTTAGCTTCTTCTCCCATTTTAATGAAGGCAACAGTAACAACACAATAAATCTATACAAAGTATATTATCTTAAAATACAAATTACATGATCAAACCAATCGTAAAAAAAAAGGAACTGATATATGATAAAAATGTGCACCAATAAATAAAACTTTAAGCAATATAGACCAGTTGGTTTCTTAAAGCAAGAAAATCAATAACAATTGAATTTTGATCATCCCTCGAAACAAGGAGTATTAGTAGCAAGTTTCTTTGTGGGAGTTAGAAGGCAGAGAAAGCACCAGAAGATATTCCTTAATTATCTAACAAATAGTCTAAAATTAATGCTCAGGACTGCAAAAATATACACTTGATTATCTTATAGTCTATCTGAGAACTGTGAACTTACATGCATTGTATGGGTCTTGCCACTACTAGTGACACCGTAGGCAAAAACCGTCCCTACAAGTCAATGTGGAGTCATAGTTAGTAAAGATTTAACTTGTCATAATTAGTGAAGATATAATTAACTGCTTAAATATGAATGATTTGGATCAAATTTTGTATAAAAGCAACAACCCTATGGAAAGTTGATGAGTACAAAAGTGGATAGAAATTAAAAATTAGAAACCTCTTTTACAGAGAAGAGAACAAAATAAATCATATTTTTAGAGCTGAGAACTGTTGTATATAAATATAGAAGCATGGTTGAGTTCATTGACAAAACATAAACTTGTCAAGACTGTTAGTAAGTACATAACAGGTTTCTAGTGAACTGCAGCCTAAAATTGGGGTCCAAAATCAGATTAAAGCTTTCTAAAAGATGTACCCCTTAGTGAAGTAAAGCAACATGCAAGCTTAAATATATCAGAGTTTCCTAGTGTCACAACAAAGTGATACAGAAACAGCAAATATCTAAGCCAAGTTCATCTTCTGAAACTTATAGCGAGACTTCCAAAATTGCAAGTCTCTCTTTAAAGCATCTCAACATCCAAATATTTGGCAACTACTTACAGCTAAACAATGAAAAACGTGACCAAGTTTCTATACCATTTATGCCCTCCATTGCAGCTTTAACAACAGGCCGAGCAGTAACATCATAGACCACTTGAGTAGTTGTGGAAGGACCAAAAACTCTATCTACAAAACATAAATAAATATTACACAGTAACATCTTTACAAGACATAACAAGAAAGATTAAAGGAAGGTATCAAACTAGTATCAGCTAGTCATATCATTCCATAATTCTTGGATATTATCAAAGAGGGAGTAGTGTTGAATATCACAACTTGATGGCATGCATGACTTCAAATTTGGAGAGTAGGAGACAGCATAATTGAAAGAGGGGATAGTGTATGTATATCACAACTTGATGGCATGCACGACTTCAAAATTGGAGAGTAGGAGACAGTATTCTGTTGTTCAACAAATTCTGCAATTCTAAAAATTGATACGAAAATGGTGGAATAATTTTTTTTTTCCACATACAAAAGGCTGCATGTTACAGCAAAAGCAAATTTTTAAAAGAACTTTTGCATGTATTCTTAGTCAAGTACTTGCAATATCTTTGAGAAATTAGGATATCAAAGCTTAACTGTAAATAAAAAGATGAGCAAAAATTCCTTTCAAGGGAAAATTCCAACCTCATCTGATGCAAAACAGAGACCTTGGTAGAGCTACATGGTAGGACTGGTTTTGTCCAAAAAAGCTAAAAGATTCAAAAGAGAGCTTCAAATACACCTACAGCACCAGTAAACCAAGGCCCTAAAATGTCATTAGCATTATGTGTTAACAAATTTGAAATTAAATTGTGGCAATTTAATCCATTCTTTTATTTACTTCAATGATAAACTTCATAAAGGATAGTTTTGTAAGAGAGGAGTGACCAGTATGTATGGATCAATTAGGAGATCTTCCACATTCACATAAAAGGGTCTGGTTCACGGCCCTATAAAATGTTGATCAAGACCCAATTTTGCAGAATTATGAAGAAACAACAACCTAAATCCAGTTGCTCCATAAGCTGATGTATAAGGTATTAAGGCTCGCATCAACATGGATTAAAGGTTAACAAGGGGTGATTGGATCCAAAAGGATTCACATTGTGACCTATTAGAGACCCCCTATATTACGAGATACCTCGACTATAAATGTACCAGGATCAATAGGCCCAGCCACCCTCTGTTCAAGGATCTCTAAAAGGCCTAGAGTGAAGAAGGGTAGAAGTTGATGTCGAAATCTTGGTAATTCACTGCCTAAAGCATAGCAGAAACAGCAGTAGCAATGCACAATAATGTATTGGCATTAATTGGTGATTAGCAGATTCCTTGAAACCAACAAGCCAGCTGAGGAAAAGGAAAATATATGTAAACCAGTTCCACCAAGCTTTTGACATGTACAGATAGCTGTCTGACAAAAATAATAGTAATAGCAATCAGTCCAATCTTGCAGTTCTCTTGATGCAACAGGGTAACATCCAAAAGAGAAGATAAAGACAGAAAAAGAAACTGGAACAATGTTGAATGAAAATGGAGTGGGAAAAGAAGCATTATCGGCATGCTTAGGATATCAAAAATGAAGTCTTAGTAGTTTATGCCAGAAACTACCTGGAAGCACATCAAACAACCAAATAATGCAAAGAACAATATACTGTGATTCACAACCACTTATGTTCGTTCATGCATGAACCAAGCTTCAATGACTAACTAAACAGTGATCAACCCCTCATAGTTTACCATAGCCTGGCAAAGAAATGTATAAATAAATAATTTCATATTTGACGTGTCAAGTAGATAAAAGGTCCTGTTTCCAGTCCGGAACAGTGTCAATGGAAGCATAAGAAACTTACCTAGGGTGAGTTTCAATAGCCATGATTAATTTGTCAAGCATGACAAGGGGGAAAAAATTGAAAAAAAGGTATTCCAAAAAAATCATTGCACATTCCTTGCATAAAATCATGGAATTCAATTGCCAACAGGTAAACAAAAAAGAGGATAGACAGGCGAGGAATTAGATTGGCAAATAGCATGTCATCCATGAAAAGAAAAACAATTAGCAGAGAAGTTTTACCAAATGCGAAGAATGTGGTTGGATTGTACTCGCTGCGGATTTTATCCCCATCCGCATACCAAGCGACCTCGTCCCCATGCTGAAATTCGCGGTCACTGCAATTACATCCAAATTTGTCACCGAAACACATTTCAACGTCCTAAATGAGAAACCATTGAAATTCTTCCAAGAACGCCTGATCATCACCAGAACCCATTTCCAGAATCAACAAAACAAGGAATAAAAAAGTAAATAAAATAGAATAAATAGACCTTCCGAGCCCACCCTTAATCCAAGAACACAGATCTGCAACCGCACTCCAGATCCATTCCCTTACCTCAAAGGACGAAACCTAACCGTCACCGAGATGTTATCCCCAGATCTCCCCGCGTCCGCTGGCTCAACCACCAGCTCCTCTGCCGCAAATCCTACTGGTGCCACCCGCCCCCTGGAGTACTCCGCGCCACCCAGGACAGCGGTCCCGAATCTTGTATGCCCTCCATTGGAAGACCCGTGGAAGTGGGACGACACCGACGATGGCGAAGACCGGGGGATCGGGCGGCCGTTGGCGGAGGAGGAGGTGGAGGAGAAGGAAGAGGCTGAGGGTGGCTTCCGGTAGCTGAAAGGGGAGCTGCTCCGCCCCCTAGACGACGAGTACTGCGCCGCCATTGATGACGGCGATCAAGAACTCTCCCTCGCTCCCTCAAGGAGAGAACGTGGAAATGGAGAGAAGAAGTGGAGATGAGGAAGCAAACAACGGCCGGATGATATCACATGACCGGATTCGTAAAGAGAAGGGGAGGAGGGGTTCGGGTTGCCCCTTCTTGAAGCAATGTAGGGGGCGACTCCGGCGGAAGAGTCGAGTCGGTGGAAGCGATGACACGAGCGACGGGTGAAGAAATGAACGGGTAATTTGCACCCTCATATATAAATGGAAGGTGCGACTGACGTGGCAGATGCAAAGCCGACGTGGATCGTTATGTATGGATGCAAAGTCGACAATACGCAAATTCTCTTACTCGATTGTTTGTTACTTTCTCACCTACCTGAGTTGTAATTGGAGGCGGACTTGTGGGTCCCACCATTATGTCCATTCACAAGACGCACGGGTCGAGGAAAAGTGATGCTTCTACGGACGAGAAGAGGTGGGGCGCCGTGGAGCGTGGGAAAAAGGGCGGTAAGAAGATCCTCTCCAATCCAAATTTCAAATGGAATCCTGTTGTTCGACATCAGGGCGCTCCAATAATACGGGGTGGCGTTTTCCAGGACCGCTGGTTGAGATGAACAGTCACCGTAATCGCAGGGGATCCTGTCCAATGAGTAAAGCTTTGAAATTAAGTGAATGAGCGGGAATTACTGTAGGGAGTTTTCTATTGCGGCAATATTTGGGTCGACCGGAGAAAAGGCCGAACCAGGCGACACCAAACCTATATAATTTGCAGATGCTCTCAGCTTCTGATTGCAGATGGTGTTCATTAACTGTCTCTGTGTTCACCGTTATTTATGGTTGGGTGCAGTAGCAGCCAAGACAGCGTTGATGGCAGCCGCAACTACACATTTGTCCACTAGTCGATACCATCATCAACCACGTTTTTTGCTAAACCATCATGTACCTTGTATTGGAACGGATGGGTCCAACGGACACCTGTACACGCACGATTAAGGCATTAACGAGTAATTGTATCGCTGGGGTAAGCTGACACGGGAGGCGCAGCAGGGGAGCAGCCTGACACGAGAAGAAGAGACGGAAGGAATGAATCCCTTTTAAGAAGCTTAGAAAGCAAGAGATACATAAAAATACATGTATCTCTCTCTCTATAAATATGCACAACAGTCTGGAAAAGTTTGACCGGAGTAACGTGGGGAGGGTGCTGCTCCCACGTGCAAGCAGCTTTTGCTGTTCTTCCTTCTCTGCTTTTAGCAACCCAACCTTGTTGGCACGACGATGGCCGTACGATCCCCAACTCCTTGATGAAATTTGGACGTCAATTCTCCTTTGTGAGTGTGAAGGGTGGGTCAAAATGCAATGGGAGACATAAAGTTCTTATTCGCCAGCGATGATCGGATTTGTAGTCTGTCTAAGTTGCAGGTGGCACTTCGTATTCGGTGCAATAATTGAAATCAGTTCCGTCGATCGCCTCACTGACCTACTTCTCGTACTTGGAATAGGAGCCTTTGCAGTTACGCTTACGCTACATCAAATCGATCACACCGTGCAACATGCTTTTCTGTGGGTGACGTCATCACCTCCTTCGACTGTTCGATTATTTAGAAATAAAAATAATAAAAAGTTCTATTTTTATTTTTGTATCTTTATATTATTGTATTATCCTATCGATTGATAATGTCAAAAGGTAAATAAAGTCTATTATTTCGACAAATAATAGCAGCAGTGATCATGGCAGCAAGCAGCAGTGGGCTGCGTGTGGAGATCAGCCTCGTTTCAAGCCCAGCAGGCGAAGGAGCAGAGTGACGTAATCGAAGTGGTAAACGGATCGCATGAAGGGCAGCTTCCATGCATCCCATGGCGGGTACCGGAACGTGAACTCCAGCAGGAAGCTCCTCCTCAGCACGGCTTTCGTGTGACTGAACATGTCGAAGGAGAACTTGCCGTGGTACTGTCCGAACCCACTCCCACCCACTCCTCCAAATGGCAATTCGTCGCACGCGAACTACAAGGAGACAGTGAAAGGATCGCGAGCGATGCCATGGAGTGATGAAGATTAGGTTACAGAGAGAAAGTACCTGGATCATGGTGTCATTGAAAGTAAGGCTTCCGGAAGATGTTTCAGCTGTGATCCGGCTCCTGAGCTTCTCGTCCTTGGTAAATGCGTAGATGACGAGGGGTTTTGGCCTGGCCCTTATGAACTCGATGCTGTCCTCGATCTTCTTCAGCTGGAAACCAGAGGGCAGCGTCAGAACCTGGACATGAACGATGCTGCATCGAAAAGCAACGAGATGCAGATGGTGATGGAAGCTCCGCACACGGTGATGATGGGAAGCAGCGGGCCAAATATTTCTTCGTTCATGATCTCCGCATCCAGCGGGGGGTCGAGCAGTATCGTCGGCTCGATGAACCTGCAGAGACGCAGGCGATTCTCTCGTTACATGCTCCGTTCTCGAAGACGACAAGGGAAAGCATGTCGGTACTCACAGTGTCTCGGAGTCGAGGGAGCCGCCGTGGATGATGGTGGCGGCCACCGACGGATCCTTGATAAGATTGCTTAGACGTTGGAAGTGTTGCTCGTTGATGATCCTGGATAAGCAGTCAAATCTTGGGTAGAACTTCTCGAGTGTGGCTTTTAGCTGATCAATCTATCAGAAGCAGGGGCAAAACACGTCAGAGATATTTCGTCGAACACATTTGCGTCGGAATTTAGCGGCGGTTCTTCTTGTCCGGCATACCAAAATCGGTGCAAATTGCTCTTCCACAAGAACATAGTCGACCCCTATGCAGACTTGCCCGGAGCAAGGAACCCATTTCGCTCCTACTATTCGTTCCACAGCCACCTGTTCCAAACCATGTATGAGAACAACAAAGCTAAAATGAAAAAGAAAGAGGACATAGCGTGTTGATCCCTGAATCCGATGACACCATTCTCTTAGGTTTAAAAGCTGTACCTTTCTGTCTCGGGCGCTACTAAGGGAATCAAAGATGGCCGGAGATTTACCACCTAACTCAACAGCAACCGGCGTTAAATGCTTTGCAGCAGCCGCCATGACGATGCGGGCAACGCGCGAGCTCCCTGCGCAACCAAGCCATGTCACGGAAGATGATGAACCTTATATCCTATTAAATTCTATCCAATTAACTCCAGTATTAGATTTCATAAGTAGATTGCCCAAAGCCAGTCTCCAATTCGTGGTCTGTTCTTTGGTCCTTCGCAATGTTGGCCCAAACCTGCAAACCGAAGCAATTTCGCTGCGCTCTGTTTGATACCTGTGAAGAAGATCTTGTCCCACTTCTGTTCCAAGAGCTTCTGACCAACATCTGGGCCACCTCGGACGACCTTCACCGACATACTGTCCAAATACTTGGGCACGCTTTTTGCTAGAAAATTGGATGATGCAGGAGCTAATTCCGACGGCTTGAGAACGATCGCGTTTCCAGCAGCTATAGCTCCGATCAAGGGTTCCAAGGACAGACCTTCAAAGAGCCGTCACCGAAAGAGAAAGGTCCAACAATAAGTGACGGCTCAATATCGGTTTATACCACCGAGACAAAAGCGCAAACATCTTGCGGGGAGAATACAAGTGCAAACCTATAGGGAAATTCCAAGAAGAGAAGATGAGAACGACGCCGAGGGGTTCGGGCACCAGCTCTCCGCGCGTCGGAAATGCCAGGAGCGGTACAGGGACCTGTCACCAACCTCAACACCGTCTTCCAGCTCGAACAACAAAAGGAAATAGGAGGAAAAGTAAAACACACCCGGCAGGGAGTCATCCATTTCTTCAGATTTTCCAACGCATAGTTGACGGACTTGATCAGAATCCCCACCTATGGCAGACCAACAACAAAAGAGAATTAAAGAGGAGGAATGAATTCAGAGGACGACTGTGGACAAGTGTGGGCGATGGATGCCTCATCTCTGTAAGCTTCGGCTTGGTGCTTGCCGAGGTCTTGCTTGAGCGCCGTAAACATGCCCTCCTCCTCCTCGTAGAGGAGCCTCTGCAGAGCCTTGAGCTGCGACCGCCTCCATGCAAGGCTTCTCGTCTTCCCGCTCTCGTAATCTGTCCTCACCTCGTTCGCAACCCCTTCCACTCCCACCGACTCCATCTCCCCGCGTCTCTTTGTTCTCTACCATCTCCTCTCCGCCTCCTCTTTAAGCGAAGGCCACCGACTGCCTCTCCAGCAGTACCCGCAAGGTGGTGGTGACCACAGACGATACGTGAAAGGCGCTGCAAGCAGTTGATCGCATTTACTCCGACGCAACAAATTGGAGTTAGCATCACCTAATTAATACGGTCCATACAGCGAAGCCGGTAGATATATGGTGGTCGAGGGAGGTGCAGTTTACATGACAAGAACCAGCAGTCAAATCCTCCGTCGAGTACGCAGAAGAATCAACATAGTTGAAGGTAGAATATGGATCGAGATGCTTAACCATATGCGTTTGCTTGCACGGATTGCTCACTCGTCTTGCTTACGGGTGAACGACGACGACCTGAATATGAATGACTCATGCGAGTGAAATGGGCAGCTGCAACTGAGCTCTGCAGGCAACTGCACAAGTCATCCAGAGACGACTCTGACAGTGTATCTTAAGGGATGACATTTACAATATTCATAACCTCAAAATTGTCGCTTGCTAAGGGAGATAGGTAGGTATAAATAGAGACAACTGTATTCAGAATACAATTGAAGCTGATGGATATCTAAATGAATTGACAACAATGATGAATGATGTACATTTAAATCGGTGCCGGCTGATGATCAACTGCCAGCATCAATTGGCCGGATTTGCATCATCGTGATCAAAAGGAATGTCTTAATTGATATACGTCATGGCTCAGCATAATGTTGAACGACACATTATCATCACGCGAATCGGCACCTCATGCAATTGATACCTCAACATCATAATAATAAGATTAAGCGAGTCGATAATATGTTATTGCATCTCGAATTTGATAATACAATAATATTTTTTTCCTAAGAACTTTCTCGATATGATTTTGCAGGGTTTAACAATAATATGTTCTCCTAAGATCTGTTGATCTGAACCTGACTCGACTCCAACAAGGCCGAATATTACTTGACACGAGTCCAAGTTTGACTCGATCCAGACGAATTGCCCGAGAACAAATCACCGGTCGGCCGGTGGCCCTAGGCGACTCAAGTCACGCGCTCGTCGCACGTCATCGACAACAACTAGCGGCGGGCTCATG